CGCTGTTTTTAAGTGTTGGTATCTGATCATGCTATCGCGAGATCTGAACACGTGATGCGTGAGACGTCACTGAACTTCAGCATTCAGGAGCAAAGCCATCTTGCCAAGTTGCTGAGGTATGCTAAGCACGAGGGTGTTCACAAGAGGTTGATGGACAATTGACCGGCAGATGAGAGTAACCTTTCAGCAACGAAGCCCCATGTTTTAATCATGAAATGTCATTGTTCAAATGAAAGCCTGACTGCAGAAATGAAAATGTCACAGCATAAATGGCAGAGAAAAGAACAAAAATCTTATAATCAGACGGCTGTTTAGTTTATATTTTATGGTTATTATACTCGTGATTTAACAGGCATGTGCAATTAATAAAACCTGTCTCTTCAATAAGAAATAACACTGTAATGTATAATTTGACAATGACAGAAGGCCCTACTCTTTGTAAGTAGGATGAGAGTGTCATTTTTCTACTGTTTGGCTAGCTATTCAGGATCTTATATCCAGTCTAGACCCTGTGTTCAGAAAAATACTGAGCTGGAGGAATATGGACAATCTATTCTAAATTATGAATTATATGCAAGTCAATATCCAGATATTTCCATTATTGTGGAAGATCATTAATTACTGGAATTTTAATGTGCATTAATCTAAAAGACAGGATTGATATTATTAAATTATTGTATTGTAATAGCTGGAGCACTTTGTCCAGGCTTAGAACTGATTAGAGGCTGAAACACAAGAGACAAGGGAGGTTCAGGTTGTATGATATGCAAATGCTATACGAGTAAAGCTAGCAGATACCACTGTATGCTGGAAGAGCCATGTGTTAGATGGCACTGATCCGATACCCAGTATCAGTACTGAGCCAATACCGACAAAAAATGTTCTAATGGGATATCAGAGGGACGGGAAGTAAGAAACCGGTCAGAGACAGGTCTAGCCTGAAAAATCACGAGAATTCTTGTACCCTTAGCGTGACATACCGTGAAAAGAAGTGAGGGACACAAGTAAGGGCTAGTTTGTTGAGCAATGCGTCTGTCGGAAATACAGTAACCCCTTCACATTCTCACATCTGACATTCGTGGTATTGGCTATTCATGAGTTAGCCGTAAATAGTTAGATGGGAATATTATTCATCGCAGAAACTTGCAGACACGCAAGCCAAAAACAATACTGAAAATTATTTGCATCACATAAACTCATAGAATACATAAATATTAGTAATACACAATATTTGTTAGTGTAAGTGCATCCTATAGCTTTAATATTGATTAAAGGTTTCGGCTTGGGTACACTGCGCACCTTTGTCACAGCTGCCAGCTTCACTCACACGTTAGCCGTCTTTGCGGCTGTGGAATCTCTCATTTCTCACAGTAACTTTTTAACTTTTCAGTGCCGGTAATTTTGCATTCCAAAAAGTACTGTTCCCAGTGCATATGGGTAAGGGGTGCCTATTTGCGAATTTTTACACTCGCGTCAATCTTCCCCCCCCCCAACCCTTGCGACTATAAAGGGGTTATTGTCCTTTACGCTGAAGGAAGAATAAAAGCAAAACTGCAGTGGACGAAAGGCTGGTGTTTTTCTTAAGGCTGAGCACAGGAAAATTTCATTCTAAAATTTTCTTAATTACTACCTAAAAGATGTATTTGTGCTCCAGATTGTTCTGGAGACTCACCGTATATGTACTTTTTGACTAGAAATGGTCTGTTGGGGAACAGAGTGATATTTTTATGATCGGTTAAACAATTGGCACTTTAAGAAACATTTGTTCGTTTTGTAATAATTTTACTGAACAAAGCACACTTGTGTAAATCATGTTGGCCGTGGATGTCTTACCACAGCATAGCTTTTGTTTGAGCAATATTACCATTATATTAGCATTATATTTTCCTATTCTTATTACACTCAAACAATGCTGCTACAATAATAAATGCAGGTATTCTGCCATGGTAATTGAAATGTATGCAAATATCTCATTTAATGCTTAGTAATCGATAAATGGGGAAAAACACAGGACTGATATCTATCAGCAGATATTTAATATTGCCATTGGGAAAAAAATTATATTGTTCATTCTCTACCAGGCGTGTTTCAATGTTTTAGACAAATATGTTTAATGTGCTTAATGTCAAGAAAACTTGCAGAATATATGCCTAGTATTCAAGTATTTGCCAAAATAAATGATAAGATGTGACAGCATCTGGAACTTCTACAGACTCTTCCTTGACCCCCTAGTTCCATGCAAGGCCGAGATGACCAAGCAACTTACGTCTATTGGGTATGTGTGTGTGTGTGTGTGTGTGTGTGTGAGGGGATAGAAATTAAAAGGCAGGAAGAGCCTTCAGCACCAATTCATCCCAGAATAGAACTCAATCCTGTGGAGTCACACAGCAAAACATGGGGGGGGGGGGGCGGCCTTCACTGAGATGGAACTTGAATCTGCTGGAAGTTGAAAACAAAGCCAATGGAAGCCTGTTTACCGATGAAACTCGTTCTTTTGCTATGCAAATACCCACAGCTTCCCTCTGTTTGAATAAGGGTGTTCAGTCGAAACTGCCTACTGAAAAGCAAAACGACTACCATTACCCAAAAAGCACTGAAGCTAAGTCAATATTTAAGCCATAGGCTAATTTGCGCCACTGTGCATTATACAGAAGGAATAGAAGTGCAGAAATGGTGGAAGAGGTGGAGTAAATGAAGGACAATCTATAAGAGATTTGATGGACTCTGCAGGTGCTCCTTCCCAGAATTTCCATAACAAACCCTGGGTGGCTAGACATGGGGCACATACAGGAAACTGAAAATGCCTCGCTAAGTATGTCATATTTACAGAGCCGTGACCTCTAAACACACACACTGCCACCTATCCTAAAAAGAAGCAGACAAACAATAATACAAACCCTATCCTAAAAAGAAGCAGACGAACAAACAATAATACAAACCCGATCTTAAAAAGAAAGAGACGAACAAATAAAAGTACAAACAACTCCCGGCTGGCTTTTAGAGAGGCGTTCTAATGGGCGCACAAATTTAAATAAATAAATTTAAAAAAAGAGCGAAAGAACTGAAACAATTTACACAGCCATTGAAACGTGCAACTGTAGCCTTGCATGTCAATTCATAATGCAAGACATCACAAAGGAATCACCCACTCATGAATCACAAAGAGAAAGAATGAGGCTGGGTGGGAAAAGTCTGACACAAGCAAGTACAAGTGTCTCAGAAGTGCATGTCACATCTGACATGAAAATGACATGAAAGTCAGAACTACCACAGCAAGCTAATGTCAGCTGGCTGAAATTGCATATTGATACTGTAGTTTGCTTTCATTTTAACTGTTGTAGTTCGCTAACAAAGTAATTTGGTTCTCTCAAGACTGACTGGGCAGAGTTGGTCCAACCCAGCATTAAAGCTCATGTAATGTTTAATGCTGACATTCGGATGCCTCATCTTGCATTTCCCAGGATCTGACAGCACAATCCTCACAGCTGATACAAGAAGCAGAAATGGATCGACGTTGCATCCTGATTCGTCATTCAATAAAAACAATTTTCAGCTATTACTCAACTTGCACTGGAAAATGTGCATTGCCTAACACTATCTTTGTTTACCAAATGAATCAGTTTCTTACTCAGGTTTCAGATGCAAGGCCAAAACATGTAATACTGATTACTGTGCTTTTGGAAAAAAAAACCCAATAAATGTAACTGGAAACAATCACATTGTTATTCTGGGAAGTCTGCAAAACAAATTGTCTCAAGTGGTGATTAATTTGAGGCTTTTTTATATGAAAAGCAATGTAACATTTCAGGCAGCTAAGCAACCAACAGTGGAAGAGAGTATGAGTGGGAATTTAAGGCTGGGCATGTACAGATTCATTTTCTTATTACCATAATCTGTGTGTTCAAAATAAATCTTTTAGGAGCATAGCTGCAATAACCCAAATACCCATTATGAAGTGCTAAAAATAAGATGTGCAATGAAACCACAGGCACCCCAAGAACTGACACCAAGCTCTATAATGTCGTGGGGAGCGAAACCATCAGAAGGCCACAGTCCGGCCACTCAATACCTCCCTTTTCAAGAGTAACTATACAACAATCAAGTCAGAGCTCCTCAGGGTCTGCCGTTAAAATTAAACTGAGAAGATTAAAGAGGCAACAGTGAAGTTACAGTTCTTGCAGTAAAAAGAAATTATTATATAAAAACACCCATACAGATGGGATTCACAAGCTTAAATGTCTGAACTGGGAAAATGCCATTAAGAACAAAAACACCTGTTTTACTGTTTTGATGCCTCGAGTTAAGTGGCATTTGATTTAAGTTAATGAGCTTCACTCCACACAAGACTTAATTCCTACTTTCAGCTAAACAAACCTTATTCTCTAGATGACAGACCCGCTAATAATAAAGTGAGAACAGCAGGCAAATCAAAATAAAACAAACCAAGATTTTTAAACATTGTTTTCCAAAATGAAAGATTTCAAGATAACTTTCCATGACATCATATCTAGCTGTAAAGCTGATGATTTCAGTTGTGGTGAACTATTGAACCAGGCTAAAATTCTGTTCACAAAGACAAAAGCTTGTTTGTTTATTTCATAAACACGAACAAAAGACGACCTGTATAAACTTGTGAATGAAGAAGCTAAACAAACAACAGCTTTTGCATCATATTCCCAAAAAGCTGCATTGGAGTGTTCAAACCACTTAGTATTTATATATCCAAACTGGGAGCTGAAGTGACTATGGTGACTCAGGCATTGTCGGTAGGTGGTAGGTGAGGAACGCCGAAAGCCTTTGTGGAGTGAAAATTATTAAACTTCTGATAAATGAGCACAAGAAACAGAAAAGGCCACTGTAAGAGAAGAGGTAGGAGGATGGTAATTCAAAGCTGGCTCAGAAGTAACGAAAGCAAATAGCAGAACACTTCTACCTTCAAAAATAAAAGAAATGGATCGAGGGTTCTGCTGGGGAAAAAATAAAATTAAAAATCCCCCTACCGTGTCCTCAGTGCCTGCCAGGCGGCATCCACGTCCGCGTACAAGTTCTTCTCAGACGGCTTCCCTGAGCTGGCACCATAGCCGGAATAGTCGTAAGAGAAGACGTTGCAATTGATGCGAGAGCCCAGGCCAATGTAGAAGCTGCTCATCTGGCCCAGGTCCACGGCATTGCCGTGGGAGAACAGCAGCGTGAACTTGGCGTTGGGCGAGCAGCGCACGAACATGCAGGCGATGCGGTTGCCCCGCGAAGTCCGTGTCATAAAACACTCGATGGCGTCCTTCTCCCGGGAAGAGTACTGCCAGTCGGCGCGCTCCGACAGGTGCAGGGTCCAGCGGCTGCCGCTCTCGTCGCAGATCAGGGTGTACGTGGGGTCAGGGGGCAGGAAGGCCAGCTTGGAGGCAATCTTACTGGGGCAGGGTGGGCAGCAAAACAGGCAACAGAGCTCGCTGAGAGACAGGTGGTTCATTTTCTCCTCTGAGGAAACACGAAATGAGAAAAGATGACACCAAGCAACACCGACTTGACAGGCAAACAGATAAACCAAAATGTAGCGTACCAACATTTTAAACAAAAAATGAACAGCTTCTACCAATAAGAGAAGAGCCCCTAAATAACGCGGTTAGAAAGTATTCTCTACAGAACTGAAACAAGTTACATGCTTGAACAGCAAAGTTAATTTGCAGACGGCACCTAGAAAGAGTGTATTCATCTAAAATTAGAGGTCGACCGATATATCGGGCCGATATTTGGCATTTTTAAAAATATATCGACATCGGCCGATATCCGAGTGTAGTACGCCGATTTACAGACAGGCATGTCTGCGGGCAGCCCAGTGTTATTGTTGCTGTGGAACACGTGACCCATGCTGCCTTGTGCAGGACCCCAGCCAGAAGTTTTGGAAGAGTCCTGGGAGAAAATAAGGCTTAAATTCTGATCTTTCAAAGACCTATTTATTTAACTGGTTTGCTGTGAAATGCTGCTTTAAAAGAAACCGTGAGTGCTATTGAAAGAGAACGCGAATTATGCTGTTGGGAACTGGCGTAATGTTGGCCTTCAACCAACTGTAGCCTACAGGTAACGTTAAGTATCATTGATTCTGACAGAGTTTGGAATTCCGATGCTGCTATTTTTATTGTTTATAGTTTAAGTTATTGTTTACAAGTTGTATTGTGTTTTTGTTAAGTTTATATTTAAATTTACACAAGTCAGTATTCAATAAATGCTAAGTTGAGAAATTTTGTGTATCATTTGTTATTATTAGTGTGATATTTTGCCATGCAAATAGAGGGGAAAACGTCCAATTATCGGCCAAAAAAAAATCGGCAGCATATATCAGCCAACCCTGACTCCTAAATATCGGCATCGGCTATTGAAAAACCCATATTGGTCGACCACTATCTAAAATACAAAAAAAAAAAAGAATTAAACACTCAATATCCCTCTAAAGGGAAATGATGGGAACACTTGAAAGTGTCACTAAAGGAAGCTGAATTGCATTTAAAATGCACATTAACCTGTATTTGAGCATACAAACAGTAACTAAAAAGTCTTTATAGCAGGAATTCTGGGTGAATTCCTCTTACTTCAGAATTCCAGTTTAATGAGGACTACCATTCCCAAGTAACATGTGATGGCATACCATGTGATTCCCAGACTCATGTTAATGAAAAGTGAATGTGGTCAGTTACAGTTTACAGAACCCACTTATACAGCCAATTAGCAAATGACGCCAATCCTGCAGATAACCCGAATCCCTAAGACATGATAGAGTTTAGCTTCAAAAATTATATCTGGACAGAATTACGACTAAATGCTACCTGTTCCAGGAGAAATGTCACTGAACAGACAGGCAAGATTGTGCAGGATCTAGCTGTGAGACACAGGTGAACACAGTTTCAGGGTGATAGGAAGTGCCTGTTCCATGGTGGGGGGGTTAACCAACACAGGCTTAGTGCCTAAAGCCTTTTTTGCCTCCTTCACAAGCTCATACAAAAACAGGCTGCCTGGGGCTTGGCTTCAAACACCCAGTTCTAGCATAGACTAACAATGCTGCCTTTATTTTCACATAGCTCAAAGGATGGATCTTTTTGCATGACAGAGAAATTTAAAAGCTTAGCACAGAAGTGACCCACCATTATTTTAATCAATGTACTGCAATCACTGTGGAAACCAAAGACAAGAGTGTCTAGAAATAGAGTACGAGTATTAGAAATTCAAAAATACCAAGCTGCCTTGCCTGTGAAAGCTCACTCACTGTTGAAACCACAAACACAGTACACTTTAAAAGATGAGAAAGTTCAATGACTTGTTCTTCTGATCATCGCAACCCATCCTCCCCTCTGAAAAATGCACCTGTTTTCCCCACACACACTTACTCAGGCTAATTTCCATTTCCAGAAGGGAGTTTTAATAAGGAAGTTTCACTTAAGGGGCACTTCCCCCCCCACCTGAAGTACAGACCACTGGCACATTTCGATAAAATCTTTGAGCTACTGCCCAGGAAAACCAAGTATCTATTCTCGACACTGGATTGTTATCTCATAAGTTTGAATAAAAGGAGATCAGTTTGAAACATGAGGAGTCCATTCTTGTACAAACACAAGTTTCCTTGTCTTCAGGGCCAGGTAACTGATATTGCATACTGCCTAAGGTAGAGAGGCTTCCTACCTCTCCAGAACACAGCTGGCAAATGTTTGAGAGAGGACGCACGTTTGCGATATCTGCAAACAAGCCTGACCCATGTAACATAAGTGAAGAAACACGAGTACAAAAAAGGAAAACCATTCACGCAGGTGTAAACAACCTGTCTCTAGGTGTGTCAACGTTTGCTATATGGGCATCTACTGTCGAGACACTAATTCAGTACTTTATGCCAGAACAAAGATTATACTCCAGCAAAATAAAACGTCCTAAAAGAATAGTGTATACTTGCGCACTTAAATTTGAACTGACTGTTTAATGAACTGATCGCTATATCATAGTAATTTCATTTGAAACTATGATTAAACTGTTCTATTAACAGGAGGCTCTCTTTGACCCTGAGTGCCGCATCTTAGGAATAATTCACTAGACTAGAGGGAGCACAATATTCTTATATTCAGCTAACTAGCTGACGCATTTCTGGGATTTATCATCCACGCAACCAACAATTATCTGGGCTTATTTTACTTGTTTAGGTGCCTTAACTGCTCCTGAAATTAGGTAGCAATCCTGAGGTCCCCCCCGTTTTCAGGGGCCGAACCCGGTACCAGGCAGCCCCGCTGTGACGGGCTGGACCACAGTGATGTAATGTCAGACCCTGTGTGTGTCTGATACAGCCTGTCGAAACGGTGGCCCGATTCAAACACTGGAATAATAACATTTTAATTAAATAACCCGAAGTAGAGATGAAAACAGCAAATTATAACGAAAATTCCATTTATTATCTATCAAGATTTTACAGCGGGTGGGATGACAATGAAACATACTTGAACGCGTCCAGTTATCAGGAATCGATAGCTTGCTGAAACTCCAAGACTACAGACGAAATAACAGAGAGCAAAACCAAAATATATTATAAAACACGCACGACTTCAGTCACTAAATGAAAACGGGAGCATCGAACATCATGCTGGAGTTCACTTGTCATGAAAAACAAGTAATATCGCCCAGCTACATCACAATTAAGCGGCATCGAGGTAAAATATAATTGCTGAGACAAACCTGAAAGGTGCCTGGCCGTGTAGGTTCGGGTGGTTTATGTAGGTGGGGGACACCGAGGCTTCAGCGGAGAAACAACGCAGGGCGATTCGACCGACTGTCGACTAACGTTATTCCGAGGGACGTTGGCTCAGATCTCAGACTGGCACTCGGTGCAGCCAGGGACTTGCGAAATCTTCCCGAACCAGTCTCCAGCGTTCCTTTGTTAATCAATCTTGTGAACATGTGGTCCAATTCATTGCGAGAGAACACACATGACACTCAAATAATGTAATTCTGACTAAGCAAAACCCGACGGCTCACCCTCCGTACTGCGTCTCGCTACTTCAGTTCACACAACGTAACTAACCAACCCTCCTCCCTAGCTATCTGCCTGCCGTATTTTCAATGGAAACCTACTGTATAAATTAAGCGTAAACGGGTAAAGTCTGGCAGACCAATAAAAACAAAGCGGACAAAACAGATGCACCAATGATTATTAGTATGGGTGTTACACGGGCGGGCCTTGTTGAAGCATTTGACTACATCAAATGGTAAACGGCAGGAGCCGAAAGGAACCAATCAGAAATTACTATGCCGCAAAGTAACCCCGTCTATTTGACCAAGAGCAGAGAGGAGTTCGGCCGGTGCAGAATGACGTAATGCCTTTTGTGTTATCGGAGGAGCTGGTGCCCGAGGGGAAACGACAGATTTAAAGAAGCAGTGCCAATCACGTGTAGGAAGTCGGAAACAACGCGAGAACTGCGTCGCCCCCGGGGTTTATTTTCTTCCGGGTCGGGGACAGGTCTGCCATGCGACTTGGGTGAATTTTGAATTCTTTGGCGAATTAAGTAATGTTTGATCATCGACATGAGTTCTCAGAAGGGCAATACTGCTCGTACGCGAGGCCAGAAGTACCAGAATACGACTGCTTTCAAAAATAACAAGTATGGGACGAGTGTTCAGGTCAAAGTAAGTACCGCTGGTTAAATCGTGTTACATAGACAATATCCAGAGGACATTAGTTTTGGATTAAAAAAAACAACCACTTAAAAGACCAGTAATGTGATGTCTTTGCTGTCTTTATCATAGTTAGGTGTCCCTGTATTAAACGCAAAGTCCAACTGTTAATGACGTAGGTTATTAATAGACTATACATTTCCTCTTGTTGTCAACGCTATTTGTATAGAATTTAAATATGTAGAATTAAATGGCAGGGTATCATTGACCTTAATTAGTAATTATTATAATATAATTATTTCTGTCTTGTTCTTGTATAATAACGGGATTGGGCTTCCCAAATATTTATTAACTTCTGAAAGAGAAATAAGCACCTTCTGAAAGCATGTCAGGAAACTATCTTCATCGTTATTGTGTTCAGGTGTAACCATAAGCACATCAATATTAAGCGAGGAAGTTTTTAAAATTCCTTGCCTTCTGTGCCTGTGTAGGTTTGCATTTCTCAGAGCCCTTTAGCAGTTGCTTGGCAGCACATGTCTTTCCCTTACTGAGGGCTGAAAAGTGACTGAGAGTACCAGGCAGTGTGCCCCGTTGCCATGGGGCTCTTCAAAGGATACAAGTCCATGGCAAGAGTTCAAAAGGATTTAATTTGCTAAATTAAAATTCAGCTGCATATAATAACCACTTGAGAGAAATTATTAAATGTTTGATTAAACTTTTGGGCCTGGTCTTTGTGTTTCTGGTCAGGATTAAAAAAGTTTCGTGTAGAAATATAGTTCTGTTTCTTTTTGTTTATTTTATTCATTTAACTCCTTTCCCAGACAGCAACTGCAAAGGTCCATGATGGGGTCTGCCAGCATTGCAAAGATGTTTTGGAATGGAAAGTGAGATATAACAAATACAAACCTCTAACTCAGCCTCGAAAATGGTAATGCCTCCATGTGTACCATCCTTGCTAGTATTACCTAACTAGCTAAACTCTGATGATGATGATTAGTGGTTAACTTGGAACATAGGGGTTGCAAAGTGGGGGAGACATGTTATTTTTGCACATTCGTTGGTTGTGTTGATCAAAGTACCATTAACCTTCCCCCCCCCAAATGCTCCAGGGGTGCCAAATAAATGGTTGACCCTGTGCCCCCACCTCAAGCTTCGCTCTCACCTGTATGTATGTATGTATGTATGTATGTATGTGTGTGTGTGTGTGTGTGTGTGTGTGTGCACACATTCCTGCCTGTTTAGAGAAATTAATTGTGAATGTCTTTTGTGCTGTCTCATGTTGCCCAGTGTGAAGTGTCTGCAGAAGACTGTGAAGGATGCATACTACATCATCTGCAAGCCCTGCGCCCTGAGGTTGCAGCAATGTGCCAAGTGTGGGAAAGAGACAGACGTTGTTATCCCGTAAGTGTGCTTCCAGGGGGGTATTCCAGAAAGCAGGTTATGTGACATACCCGGGTAAGTTTAGGGTAAGTTAGTGGATAACCTCAACTTTCGGTTCCAAAAACGGAGGTTAACTTTCTGGGTATGTACGTAACCATAGCAGCTTACTCTCTGAAGATAACCTGCTCAGTAGCAGGTTATGTTCCAGGGTCAGTTTGTTGCAGAAGGTTACTGAGCATGGCGTGCCCTTTTGATGACGATCCTGTGAACGTGGAGGCATAAATTATACAAGGTTTTTTTCGCCGGGAGAGAGTTATAAGACCGCGTATTGATGTCTTGTCATTTCCTAATGATTATTTGAAAAAGCGTTATCAGTTTTCAAAAGAATCGTTCATTTACTTAACATCTCTTGAAACCGCATATTGCAAATGTCACAAACCCAAACCGCGGGTCTGCGCTTAGCACAGAAAACATTCTGTACATAGCGCTTCGGTTTTTTGCGTCAGGGCATTTTTTGTACAATATGGGCGACGCAGAGCATATAGGAAAGGCAACTGTGTGTAGAGCCGTTCGCACAGTATGTCTGGTACTTAACGCTTCTTACACACGTTTGTACAGTTCCCTGTCCATAAAGCTCTGCGTGTTATTAAAGAGGAATTCCACAGAGTGGTAGGTTTGTCCTTTGTAGTAAAATCTATGATGCATATTTAATATATAGTCATACTATTTATATCTATAGCCTACATGTATTCATCCTGCACACACACACACTTGATACTTCCCTATATGACTTTCTATTTCAGGGTTTCCAAATGTAATTTGGAATACATGTAATACATGTATAGTGACAATAAAAGGCATTCATTCATTCATAATTGGGTGCATTGATGGCACCTACATTCCTATTAAAGCTCCTTTAATAAATGAGGGAGACTATGTTAGATAGATAGATAGATAGATAGATAGATAGATAGATAGATAGATGTCTTTATTGTCACTATACAAGTACAGCGAGATAGCGGAGGAAATCTATTCATAGTATCAATGTGCAGGTAACTTGATTTTGTATCCTTAATTTTTTGCCTTGTTAAAATCATCAAACTCATTACTTTTTTCCACTAACTATAGGTAATCATTACAGGACAGTACAATGCTGGTTACCACTGGTTGCCCTCAGATGGGGTGAGGGGAGGTGGTGGTGGGCTCCCGCCAGTTAGACGGGCTTCAGCCTTTTTTCTATTAGCTACATGACAGAAAGAATATACTAAATCGTGTTTAATAAATAGTTAAGTGATCGTGTAATCAATAACCTTTTTGCAGAATGTTTTTGTGTTTCATTTTGACTTGGCTCAAAGTTCTTCTGTCTCCAGAAGGATTACACCTTATTAAATAAGAAACCATATATTCCTAGTCGAGACACATTGTTATTTTAACCTAAAGAAATGAATGGCAGGAAAAGTAAATGCTTTCATAGTGATTTAACAGTAAAAAGGATGCGGAAGGGTTATGTGTTTAATTATTTTGCATTATAATAAAAGGGGAGGCGATGTCAAATTTGCAATTTAATACACACGCATTTATTCTGTCCTTTATTTTTTGCCAAGCCAACTCTTTCTTTAGCCGATGCAGCCGTATTGCTTTTTTTCATTATTATTGGCTTGAATTCCTCATATGCGTGCATTAAAACTTCCAACTCCGCCTCTGTGAAGTATGCCGCTCTCTTTTTTTCACTTTGATTTTCCATTCTGACTCGTGAAATCGGCGATCAATTGAAAACGTCTTTATGTATGCACGGTGCACGCGCATTAACTCTGGGTAAGCAATAGGAGGTTGATTGAACTTACTCTTCTCAGGTGTTTTGGAACCGACATACTCATGGTATGCGGGTTTGGGGTATATCAACCCAGAGGTTAAGATTTACCAAATGGTAAGTTAACCAAGCTTTCTGGAATACCCCCCAGGTGTAATCAAGGCCTTGTGCATGACAGATGATGTGTTCCTGCTGATGCAGGCCATGGTCCAAATTGCTCTGTTTCGGGACTGATGACAATATTGTGATTATTTCTGTATTTCTGAGTTTGGCAAGTACCAGATTATGATTATCAAATTTTGGAAAAATTACATGGACGCTTTGTATGGCACCATGTTTGTGTGGGTATTGTTTCACTTGTCTTTTGGCTGCCACCTGGTGGATATTGTGAAGTGTACAGCTTAACCTCATCACTAGTAATAACAAAGGGTCTCATTTATAAAGGGTTCATACAAACGAAAAAGAGAAACATTCATACATATGTTATTTTTTTCTTTGTAAATTCCAAAATCATTGTGTGATTTATCCTGAAACAGTTTGCACATTTATGAATGGTCTTAGTAGTTGTATGAACATTGTGAAGGAAACAGAAAAATGCAATATCTATAGTTCAGTTAGAAATGTGCATATACGTTGCATTTACAGTTAGTTTTAGTGCTTGGTGAAATGCTTAATAAACCTTTTCTTATCCTAAAGAAGTAAAGAAGGTGATCATACTCATGTTGATGCACATAATTTTAAAAACTGTAAAAATACAGCTAACTGTCCTCATAATCATTGAGAAATGGTTAAAAGTTTTAATTACACTCATTTTTGCTGAACACTGTATGTATACCTGTAGCCAGTTTTCATTGCCATTTTGGGGTAATTATTTTTTTTTAAGATAAGTGAGCGCTAAGGTCTTTTTAAATGTCAAATTACATTTGAAAGCAAATCGTGGTGTAGAGTGCATACACAGGCTTTATTGATTAATAATGTGCAGGACAAATTGATTTAAAAGATATTTAAAGACAAGGACGTGTTTGGGTGGGCTTTTACTCATGCAAATAAACTTGACTGAGCTAGATATGACTGTGGAGGACTTAATTGTCTTTAGTGCAAGTTAAGTTTAAACTAAGTTTTATGTTCCATACAGCTTTCAGTGAACACTACAATTCCTATCCATCGTTTAAATGCCAAAATCATTGTATTTATATGGTTGTTTTCTCCTTCAGGCTTACGACTAATGAGGAGGAAGAAGAGGGCAGTGACCAGGCAAGCGGAGCTCAAAAGAGCGGGCAGCGACAAAAGACAAAACACCAAAAGTTAGAAGATGATGACAGTGATGATTTTGACTCTGACGGTGAACTGGATTTCCCTGAAAATGGTGATGGATCAGTAAGTGACCACAATGAAGTTCACGTCCCTGATATCTCATCTGTGAAGAAACAGGACACAAGCTGAGGCAGTTTTAACTCTTCTGCCACGTCTTTGACAGTCAATATTTTGCCTTAAGTTGATGTTGCTGCAGTTGTACACAGTCACCAGAAGGTGGCTCTTTGATAGCCACTAACACTTCTTTGTATAACTGGGATAATGATGGGTTTTGTCAGAAGTGTTGCTCCCATTAAGCCTGTAGGTTAAATTAAATGGACTTTTATGCTGAAGAAGGGTAAAAATGTAAACTATAACGATGTGTGTAGATGGACAGATGGGACTCTTGGTAATGCTTTAGTTCTCTTGATGCAGGACAGTGCAATATCAGTTATTTCATAGTTGGATTTCTCGTTTGGCTGTTCTTGACTCCAAACAAGAGCTAATACCCAGAAATATAGTATTATTGGAGATATTCCAAAGACCAGGTTTTCCCCGAGTTAACTGGTTCAGTTAATATGCCAATTTCAAGTTGTGCTTTAGAAAGAACTTTAGTCATAAAGTTGCTGGAGCATGCAAGTTATCAGAGCATGTCATTGTCTGTATAAACAATTCATAACTAAAGAGAACATCGTGTACTTTGGTGTCACCAATCTATGGTGTCTCATTCAGTACTGGAAGTGTAAAGGAGCACAGTTCCATGGGGACAAGGCTTGACTAAAGAATCTATGGTTGGATTTCTTCTTAATGTCTCCTAAATGACAGGTTAATGCACGGGCATTCCGAATAGTGGACAAGGACTCCAGCAAGGCCTTGTGCCTGACGTGTAAAAAAATAAAAATAAAATGTCTGATGCAACTGGCTCATTTTATATCGGAAAAAGTCAGTTTGCCACTTGTCAGCATTTTCTGACGAAACTCTGTTCCTGTCATGTCTGTCATCAGCATTTTTAAAGTATCATATGAGATTTATTGTTCTCTTATCCCTACTAAAGACACCCAGACCCTGATTCCTGCATCCTTTCCAGAACCTGAAGGACCTGGTCCTTCTTGCTTTTGTTGAACCCATCTCCACTTTTGTCCCTAAATAAAGCCCTTGTTCTGATCCATGTGTTTTATACTTCTTGTATCTCTCCCAGGTAAGTATTACAACAAATTACTGTATCACATATAGCCCTCTTAGTTTTTCAGTGCAAAAGGTTATAAGCTATTTGCAGAGGAACTGCTTCAAACCAAGTCATAGTTAAGTCAGCTATTATATTTTGTCTTAAAGGGGTGTTTGACCTATGCAGTACAATAATAGCTTTACATGACTGTAAGACCTAAGTCTTTACATTTCTGTGGGGACATCTTGAAATTAAAGAATAGTCTTTTTTTTGTGTGTGCTGAGTTGCCAGGTTTGGAGAGTGACGGTGTCACCTGATTTCATCCTGCGATTCATAAGAAGCTGTCGGATAAGTTAACTGTCATCTCTGCCATTACAAATTCACTTCCACCCCCTACCTGACCCCCATCTGGTCGCTCCCAGTGTCTCCTGCTTCACCTTATTCTGGTGTACTGTTGTATTAGAAATTTTGAACCTGGAAGCAACCTGCTGTTCAATATAGCCTTCTGCCAGCAGAACCATAATTAAAACTGCATTTTAATGCAGATATATAAAAAATAAAATATGCTCTTTTTCTATCCATCCATGTCCTGAAACTGCTTGTCCTATTCAGGGTCATGGGGGGTCTGGAGCCTATCCTGGAAGCTACGGGTACAAGGTAGGAAACAACCCAGGATGGGGCGCCAACCCATCACAGGCCACACACACACCTCTGGGCAATTTGACAACTCCAGTTAATCTCAGCAGGGGGGGGGGGGGGGGATGAACCCCATGACAAGGCAGAGAGAACATGCAAACTCCACACACATGGAACCCTGGTGGAGACTTGAACTCAGGTTCCAGAGGTGTGAGGGGACACTGATGGCCACTGCGCCAACTGTGCCGCCCGATGCCCTTTTATGCCTTTAGAAAACCTGTGCAAATAGACGCAGATCACGGGTATATTTGTGCATTTTGACCAGTTTGAAAGTGGTGATGCAACCAACTCAGTTTGGTCACACTTTCAGCCTTGCTAGTAAGCAGGACCATGTCAGCGCGGGTACGGCTTGGGCTCGGCTTGGGATCAGCTTGGGCTCGGCTTGGGCTCAGCTTACATAATTTACAGTGGAAAACTCTCCCCTCGCAATATGGCTCAGTTCTTGATGGCAGTGGAAAAGTGCCATAAATTGCCCATTACGCATGTCCTGCAAAGGCGTGACATCCCGTGCATAGTGTTCCACTGGCTTGTACCCTGTGCTTTCTGGGATTGGTTCGAGGCTCAGTGCAATCCTGTACTCTGCAAGTGATTGGAGATTGGATGAAAGTCTAAGTATAGTGACAAATAAGAGAGAAAATTCTGTCATTTTATACTGCTGAGATCTCCGCATTATACTTCTCTCTGCATGTTTGTCACCATAATCTGTTGTAGGAAAGCAATGTAATTGTATATTTAGTTAAATGAGACAGGAAATTAGAAGGGAAGTGTTCTCTAAATCTTTGTTTGCCAGCATTTGCGTACGTTTCTCGTACTGAGTGATTTAAAGTGACTTAAAGTGCCAGTGACTGGGAGCTGAAACTCAGACTAAGCATATCATTGGGTTCTGGAATTTTTGTGCAACAGGAAACAGACGGTCAATATCCACAATGACACCATCAAGTCTGCAGACTAATATCATGGGGCTCATCACATGTGATGACGAAACATCTTACGGGGAGCAGGTGAGACAGCTAAAGTCAAAACCACAACTTCTCTGTTTAAACTAGCAAGACAAAGTTCACAGCACCAAGAAAGACCCTCTAATTGCTCTCATGACCTCCTACTTTCTGGAAGAAGGTTGTGCAGCATCATCCAGGTTCATGAACTATCCATGAACTAGCATAACCATGTAAATGAAGTATTCAGCACATTTATTACTGCTAATGTTTTATGGAGTCTTATTCATTGTTTAAATGTATTTATTTTGTTATGCTTCTGTTTTTAATTGCACGGTGGTCCTTGGGGGTGCTGTATTTCTTGCTCTCTCTTGCACCCCCCTGTAATGACAGTGACAATACACTTGACCACGTTAACCTTAAACTAATCCCTAAACAATAAAGTACATATGAAGCGATCTTAAAAGGTAAGTTAATGCCATTACTTGAATTTGTCTCTCCCTTATTTGTTTGCTCGACTTCAGATCTGGCTGCCTCTGACGTTAACGCTGCTGTTTGTGTGTCGTCGATACCATGTTCCATGCCAACCAATTGCGTAACAACTGTACACTGGGGCAAAAATTAACCATACCCCCTTCCACTTTCCAAATTCATGCCTAGGGCCTGCCTGCACCAGTTACAGCAGTTGCATACGATAAAATTTAAGTAGCCTCCAAATATCGTACCCATCATGCACTGCAGTAGTTATCAATTTTCACAAACATACATTTTTCATCAAATACATGCCTCGACAACAGTTTGATTACAAGACATTGCAAACTACTACATTTCAAAATTGTTTTAAGGATTGTACCACATATTTTTTGTATTATGATTCCCGCCATAATGAGACTGTATACATAAAAATGAGATATAAAAGTAGCATACACCAAAATGCATGTAATATGTGCTGTAATCCTCATAAATATTTCACATGTATGAGATTTGCAATCAAAGGGGGACCCTTGACATCACCCAGACATGTCCCCCACCTACTAGTTCACCCCTGAAGCCAACATCCGGTGATCTTGGAGAACAACCTTCTCCTTATGCTTCGCCTGCCAGTTTGCAGCTCTGCTATTAGGCGACAGTTAAGGTAATTTCCAGCAAAGACTGTTACCAGTGTTTTTTCCTCATCCTTGCAGTTGGAAGAACCTCAGTAGGATTCACGGAGTGATGTTTCCCAAACAGCTTCAGAGGACTCCCCACAGGGTGTTTAGTTACACATGACTGATGCTGTGAAAACAGGAGAGGCTGCCTCTTCACACACCTCTCCAGGGCTCTCAGGAGGACATACACCATCTGTCCCATGAGGAGTCTCTGGAAACAAACTCAGGCTGTATGTAGCTGGGGCCACCACTGTGACACCTCCATAAACATTGGTGTCCATTGTACCTTCAACCACCCTATTTATATAAGACTCACCCCCTGATAACACATCCAAAGAAACAGTCTCCTTTCTGTAGCTGGATCCTCAATCTGTTTCAGCCACATCCCAGTACTTCCACACGCAGGAAATACCACCTGACCACTACTACAACAGCAAATCTCCATATTGTCTCACTCACCCAACTGTAATTTTCCATGTGCACATTTCTTATCTTAGCAGGAAAACTTACTAATCACTTTTCCCTTAATTTACCACTTATGGAATCAACAAAACTGTTACAGAATGAACAGGGTTCATTTAAATGGGGTTCATATACTAACCTATGACCTCCAGCACCCTGCTACTGGTATTCAGAAAGGGTTCAAAAGGCTTCTCTCTTCTCACCAGGACAACAAGGAGAATGACATCGGCATGGCATGCTGACATCTAGGGAGTTTTTCCACTGCAGCAGATACGGTATTTTTGGTCAGGTACATTCAGTAGTTTCCCTTTTTCACTGACTTCCGGTCAAGGACAAGTGCCAAAAGTTCCAAACCAGTTGGGGTTTTGGTAATTCGGTGCTTTGGGTGGAACTTGAAACATTTTTTTTGTCGATTGGTTATGTAAATACTGAACACAACAACTGCCGCCTTGAAAAAAGTCACGAACTCAGAAAACAACGATAAACGAAGTAAAAGAAAAAGTTATAATAATGAATGTGTGGACAAATAAAGAGACCCAAGCTTTGTGATTGGGGGGTATTCCACAAAGCAGGATATGTTGCTTAGCCAGATAACTTCTTGGATTTAAGGTAGTCTGAGCTAAATGTAAGTGAATGAAGATAATGTTAATTTATCCCAAACCATCTAAGAAGCTATCCGGCTAAGCAAGAAATCCTGCTTCGTGGAACACCCCCCTGGTTGGAAGAACATATATAACAAAATAAGTATTTTATATATTATACTACGGCAGAATGAAAAATATATGATTTATGTTTATATTAAATATTTATTTATACAGCGAAAATTAGTGATTTAAACAGCAAGGATGAACATCATTATGATTGTCTCGGAAGAAGTATGCAGCACTCATGCAAAAGCAGCGGAGGTAAACTTTAAACTGATTTTTAAAGATATATTAGACAATCTTGAAAAGGAATAATCATTAAAATGGCAACGCTTGCTGTGCTTTTTCCTATGACAGAATGAAAATGTTTTTCGGCATGGGACACCACCACAACCAGGACAGGACAGACAGGACCGAACACAGGACCAATAGGACACAGGACAGTCACCACAAGAGACCTAAGAACAACAAACAGAGAAGATCAAGGACATGAGACAGGTTGGACACATAGGAGGGGCCACAGGGGACACAGGCCTGCTCAAAACAGAGGCAGGACAGGGTATTGGGACAAGGATCAAGGCGTGACCGGGTATATCTGGGGGGTCTGGGTGGTGGACATGAGACATAAACCCCCCTGGGCTGGATCACTGTCAAGACAGGGCTGCAGGACCTAAGGGCCTTGGCCAGACAGCAGTACTGAAAGGCGCTGAGGGCACTGAGGGCCAGAGCAGGAGTGTGGTATGGGTCCGGTCCCCTTAGCCTTTGTAGGAGAGCGGTCCAAGTGGGCAGGGTCAAGTGAACAGGAGTCTGGGTGCCTGGCACGAATAATGAGCCCTTGTCTTCCCCTCTGGGAGACAGAGACTCAGCCAGCCAACTCCAGCTGACACCGATGGTCCCATAGAGACCTAGGACTGGGTCAGCATAGGCAGAGGCCCACAGAGAGGGACTTAGGGCAAAGCCCAGAGGGTCCCACCCTAAGTCTTCTGGTGGGGTATCCTCTGGGTCGATCCAACACAACCTGGCAGTGACAGGGGAATCAGGCTTTAACCTGGCAGCAACTGGGGTGTCGGGCATTGGATTTGTAGGGACCAGTGAGTCAGGCGCCAGCCCGGTAGTAATTACGAAATTGGGCGTTGGCCTGTCAGCAACCGGGGAGTCGGGCAACAAGGAACAGGTGGGAGTAATAAACACAAGAGACTCAAGAATCAAACACTACAGGGAACAAGACAAAACTAAATACAAGCTGGGAAAACCAACAAAGTAAAAGGACAGGATAGCCAATGACTAACCTACTGGCCAAATGGGGAGATGAGGGACAGGAACAAAACAAGGTGGTACTGATTCTGACAGGGAATCAAATCCCCAACCCTGACAGAATGATGCAACGGTGTTATCCAGTCCCAACTTTCAGATTTGAGGTTCTTGAATTACACATGTATACTACGCAAGTTTACAGCCATATCCCAAAAACAGAGTTTAAGTGAACTGACATTTCTAAATTGCCCATTACACATGTCCTGCAAAGGCCTGACATCCCATGCATGGTGTTCCATTGGCTTCTGCCGTGTGCTTTCTGGGATTGGTTCGAGGCTCCCTGCAATCCTGTACTGTGCAAGTGATTGGAGACTGAATGAAAGTCTAAGTATAGTGACATATAAGAGAGAACATTCTATCATTTTATACTGCTGAGACCTCCGCATTATACTTTTCTCTGCATGTTTGTCACTTTACTCTCTTATAGAAAAGCAATGCAATTGCATGTTTCGTTAAATGAGATAGGAAATCAGAAGGGAAGTGTTCACTAAATCTTTGTTTGCCAGTGTTTGTTTACATTTCTCAAAACTGTTGCATGGCAACAGTTGGTTTTCCAATATGAGAAGTAATTTAAAGTGCCAGTAACTGGGGGCTGTTTCCTTCAGAAGGTTTTAATGTAAGGTTGTGAATTGATTAAAAAAAATAACTAATTATGTGATTAATTGTGATTAATCACACCTAATATTTGATCTTACAGTCAAATATACACACACTGAATCCCCAAATCAATGCAGAATTAACACAAAGGGGAATATGAGGGTCACTCTCCTTACTGCAACATATTAATATACTCAACTTATACAACTTCATTGTTTAAACTGTCAGTTTTGTTATATTACCATTTATTTCTGTAATAAGCAAAACCATTTCATCAAATCCAGGGCAGGAGTTACAGAGATGAGAAAAAAATAACAAAACCTTTTCATCCTATGTATGCCTTTGTTTATCATTTTTTAAAAACGAAACAAACCAAGTAACATCAGCTTGAATGTTTTGATTTTAGCTTTGAATTCTGGGATTCTGCTCAACGTCATAACCTAATCTCTCACATTGTTAATCAGAATGAAGGAATATTATAGGTCTTCATTATAAGTATTTGCTCATTTTATTCATATTATTCTCACATCAAAATACAGCATGTGTTAATGCGATCAAAGAAATAATAATGCATTGGGACTTTAACGCTATTCGTTAAAGTGATGTTTCCCAGCTGTAGTTTAATGTGTTAAACCAAAATTCAAATGCTTATAATAATAACGTATTTTTAGAGAATTGGGTTAGACAGTCAAAATCCACACGTGGACAGTAACACCAGGGCAATGACATCATCAAGTCTACCGACAACACTACAGTCATGGGGTTTTATTACAAGTCCTCTTACGAAGAGCAGTTGACGCAGCTCAAAGTATCGCGTAAAAACGCAATTTATTTCTTAATACTGGCAAGACAAAAAAAGGCGGTTATCCAGTTCAGAAGGGCAAGAGCATCTCATTCCCTTCAACATATCAGTGGCTTGGCTGTGAAATGATTTTATAGCTTCAGTTTCTTGGTGGTGCACATTACCCATGGACTTTCAAGAAGTCAGAACACATCCTTCTCAGTGTAGAGGGGAAAACGCCACCTATTTTTTTTTCTCTCAAAGATAGCTAAAGAGACTGTCTGTGTATACACATGCTCTTCTGGTAGTACTAGAGATAGTCAACTGACCTATTGCAACACTGTATGGGGCTGAACCTTTGTGGCAGGAAGACCCTACGATCATCATCCAACACATTGCTGCACCCCAGGTTATTTTTTCTACCCAAATGCTGAGAACAGCCTGTTGGGTAATTTTATAGGGTAAGTTTCATTCCAAGTACCCAGTCCTGACCCTGCATTTACGTTACTATCCTGACCTGACAGCAGGGTTAATAATGATACAGGGGTTGGACAATGATACAGAGGTTAGTCAATGGTGTTTGATAGTTTCAAATATACACACATGCAAACAAATAAGCCAAGCCTTGGCCATTATCCCAGCATGTACCACTCCTCCAGGCCTTCTTTCCTATTCTCCAACGTTTCTACCACACTGGCCTGTAAACTATGAACATAAACATTGTTTAGTGGGGATAGCAGTATAATTGTTAAGTGTGTGCGTGTCAAAGTATATTCTTTAAGTGTATTTTGTAAAAACCTGGTGTGGATTTTTCAAAGCCCAGTTGTCCAGAAAACATTAATTTCCGAAGTACTGCAAGTATTTAACAAGGATAGTAACACACTTTGTTACCAGCACATCAGCATCAGAACTAAAGCTGACTTATTTCCCCCGGCAATTCTGATTACCTACATACGACTCAAATTACAGCTTAGCTATAATGAAGATGCACATTTAAACAAGCGTAAGTGTAAAGATGGGGAGATTCTTTCCTGGAAAACTTTAATAGCACTTTAAGCACTTATGGTGTCAAGCTAATATATTACCAGTGCTAGCAACTTTGGCTAGCTGACTGACGTGAGATTTTCAATTCGAAACAAGTTTGCACACTCATTTAATTGTATGTTAGTTTTATTAACTTCTAAATAGTCTGTAAGCTTTGCAAACTACCCCGGCGCTTTTGATGTAGCTAATTTTAGTTTTTATAATTGAATAATATACATTTGTCGTAGGATTCCTTGCGTGAGCGTGAGAGTCAGAAAGCGTGACTGTCACGCTAGATGCGTGAGTGTTGGCGACCCTGATATTACCGAATGCTAAGAGAAGGGTCTGGCTGCAGAACGTGCACTTTCAGCAATCTGCACGCTCAGCCACTGACGTCAGGTGCATGCATGCTCAGCCACAACAGGAAGTGCAGGTGAATCAAGCGCTAACTTAATTCTTGAGACCAATGTCAACAGTATGTTGTTTTATTATTTGTATTACTGAATGATATAGTTATGTTTATTTATTTCATGCCATACATCATTGCAATGTAAATGCGTTGATGTAGTCCTTTAGTAACTTTTTTCTCTGATTAATGGCGTGAATTTTTTCAGTTAAGGCAACTACTAGCCAGTTAGCTCACGTTATCTTACCGTAAAATAGACACATTTCTACTTTTACAGAGCTTTTCATGGAGAAATCTTGTGAATGTCTTAGTTTCCAGCATATAGTTTTTAGTTGTTCGTGTGGTATTGAGGAGAACGTTTCTCGGTCTCCATATGGCAAGGCAAGACAAGTTTATTAAGTCCGGTGTTCTGTCGATATATGCTGCCTTGTCGAAAAATGCTACCGTAGTGCTAATCGATAGCCCTCACCCTAACTCTTACGCTAACCCTAAACCCCCAAACCCCCTAAAACCCTTACCTTAACTCTAACCCTAAAACCTAACCCTAATCCCAAAACGGTGGAACTGCACATGCGCAGAAAGGCTCGATAGCACGTCTCGATAGGTAGTATTTTATAACAGAACACCGGTCATTGACGTCCGTCTTGGGCTTCTCCGATGTTCCTGTTTTGTCTCCCTTCTAATAAGCCCCGGTTCACCGATCTCACGGGGTCTGTGCTGCTACTCCACCGAAAGGCGTGACTCAGTAAATGTACAGCTAAAAATCAGACAATGTTAGATGTTTTATATTATATCACAATGTTGTTAATGGTTCGTTTTGTTTAGTTTTTTAGGCTGTTATATCTTCCTGATATAACAGCCTATAACATTCCTGATGTCGTATCCAGTGCGCTTTGTTTTTTTTCCATCCAGCTTTTATTAAGCACAGTTTGGTACTTCATGGAATATGTAAAATGTATTATACTACGTATTACAGTTCTGATATATGATTATTAATAACACGTACAGAATTGTACTAATTTTTGATTCCATTTTACTCTTTATTCACACACACACACACACACACACACACATAAATGCGGTGTGTGCGTTTACGCTCGTTAGCGAGTTATGATAGTTGCACAATAAATTTTTCCTTGGAATAACAGCGGAAAAAATAAAGTAGCACGGTCTGAACATCAATGCTCTCACTACGCTACCACGACCACGATGCTATAGGCTATTAACCAACAAAGGCCAGCCAAACAATTTAAATATGCGCATATTAACATGATTAAGTATATAAAATATCGTTCATAACTGGCAAGACTGTAACTCGAAAACGTACCATTTTTACACTTTATTAGCACTAACTTAGGAATTAGGAAACGATTCATCGTGCATCTGACGTCAGTGGCTGAACGTGCAGTGGCTGAGTGCACGTGCTGCAGCCAGACCCTTTTGAATGCTAATACATAACTCCACCCCTAGTTCAGTTATCTTGGTTACAAGGTATTTACCGTTGAATACTTAGCCCAGAACACCTAAGGATCACTCGTTTGAGTGGCACACAAATTAGGACATACCTAGATGCATATTGAACGCAATGCATTCCACCCTGTAAAATGTCTAAAAACAAAACCCGAAAAACAGGTCCAGTTTTCAGTTGGCGCTTATCTTTCTTTTATTGTTAATGATATAACTTCGACCTCAACAAGGGCTGCACTGGGATTAAAAATTGCGTTGGACTTTGGAGTGCCCTGCGGTATGCCAGACGGCCAGCCGAGCACAGCTTCAGCATCGCCGAACCGTGGATGCAGGCGGCCTGAGCGAAGTTCTCAGTACGTTATCTTTTTTTACAGATTCACTTCCACATTGTTAACACGTGTAGTTAACAATGATTTATTCCTTACTGGCACTGTACTGTTCCGTCTGTGCTCACAAACAAATACACTATATATTTCCACAATCAAACAACCGATGGAACAAACGGAAAAATTAAGCGATTTTATTCCGTCCTTTGTATATTTTGTGAGCGCACTTTCCTCTAATATCAAACCCACTACCGCATCAAGAAGCTAAATCGTCTGTTATTGGTTAACCGAACGAAGGGGCGGAGTGCACCATTCCGTAAAGTATAAGTAGCAGAAAACCGATTGTCACCGCAATAAAACATTTTGCAAGGATGGCAAGTGATAAAGTTCAAATTGCGCAAGTGTACAGAGGAACATTTGTACATTCCACCCAAAATGCACCTCTAGAAATTTTGGAGGACCGAATTTTAGGAGTCGGTACTGATGGCAAGGTCAGGGTTATTTATCTTTTTTTTTTAACTGAATTTGATATGAATATTAAATAAATATTCCTTGAAAATAACGTTTCATGTTAAAATATAAACACTTGTTTTGTGTTTTGCTAACGAAACTGACTGGAATAAATACGGAATGCAAGTTGATTTTAACCCTAAATCTGAATTCAATTAAAGCGAAAGTAAATTTACTTGTAAAAACCAAAATATTTTCATCAAATGTGACGTTCGAAATTAGTTATTTTATGGCTTTAGTTACTGTACATAAAAATTTTACAATATAGGCTAAAATTACTGGACGTATGTCTAATTTGAACAGATAATTTTTTAAACTGTTAGTTCTCATGTAATGTATCAAAAATAATTCATTTTTTAGAGTACTTAGTACAGAGGGTGCTGAGCCTTCATCCCGCATCCAGAGTATGTAGTTAGTTGAAATGGAGTCTACAGGTTATTATGTGTGCGTGTTACCTGCGATATCCAGGCTGGTGTCCTGAAACGGGGCTACAGGCTTGTCCAGCAGCTCTGTACGGGGCAAGATGCTGAAATATGTCCTAATAATAGCCTATTTTTAAATGTTTCCTTGTCTGAGTACTTGTACTTTGCGCAATGACAAGAAAGTTTAATCTAATCCAATACAATCTAATGTAATCTAAAATAATTTAAAAATTTGAGACATAGGGGTGGCAGAAATACCACACCTCAGGACATGTAACAATACTTAACCTGGTACTTGTGCTTTTGGAGGACTGGAAATTTATATTAAAATAAAAATTTCCTACCAGATTTCTTTCATTGAGCCTGCTGAGAAAACTGACAGCCTCTCTGCAATATGGAGATTCCAAATATCAGAGGTGCAACAACTAGGACCAAGGTGAATACTTAACACACTCACAACGTGTGTGTGTGTGTGAGTGTGTGTGTGTGTGTGTGAGAGAGAGAGAGAGAGAGAGAGAGAGAGAAATGGTGAAATGTATTCACTATACCCATATTTCAGATTAAAACATTATATGCTGTGTGCTTATGACTCTGGTGTGTCTCGCAGCGAATTCTTCATGCCTGGTCTGATCGATACGCACATCCATGCTGCCCAGTACTGCTTCATGGGTACCGCCCTAGACCTGCCACTGCTACAATGGTTGGAAACCTACACTTTCCCCGAAGAATATAAATTCCGGAATCTGGATTATTCAGAGAATGTCTATACAAAAGTTGTGGTGAGCTGGGTTGACGTACTATTCGATGTAAAAATTCCATAGGCTTGTTCATATGTCTGTCATCAAGTATAATCCTAGCAATTTCAACATTTGATTTGAAGAATTCTATCATATAATCATATGACTGCTGCAGGAAGAATTTTTAAAAGAAGTGCTTGTTCTGAAACTGAGAATAGACGCTTAAGCAGATCACTGCAGAAATAAGCCCTCAACTGTAAATGTCCAGCTTAAGGACTAATACATCTCCAGTAATTTTTATCAAACAATGATGCTGTGGTGGATAGATGGGCTATGAAGTTGCAGCAAATAATAAGGCAGGGGATCTTTATTCAACCACAAGGTGGCGTTTACTGCAGCCGTACCAATCAGTTGTAACAACACACACACTGCCCACTGTGCTGGTCACTGCCACTACCCACACACACACACACACACTGCCCACTGTGCTGGTCACTGCCACTACCCACAACACACACATACACACACACCACAATTTACAACAATTAATGCTACATAACATTACTAGACTACACATTAACAACACCATACATAACAGTTACACTGAACTATTTACACTCTTCACATCCGCTGATACCGCTCCAACTCATCACTCTGTCCCATGGGTAGCCCCAGCGCTGCATTGCCCCCCTCCTAAGGGGTTAACCATCGCAGTACCCTCTTGAAGTTCGGGCAACAGTGAGCCTTACGTGGTCACAGGCTCACAAAACGGTGTGGGCCCAGGCATTCACTGTGCAGCACAATAGTCCTGCACCACTCTGGCATCCGCATCCCGTTCACCACCTCGGAAAGCCGCTTCACAAACTCCTCGTGGCGAAACAAATACAGGAATCCACATATTAATTTACAGGTTATTCAGTAATATTTACAATGACAGGGCAGTGCAAGGCATGCGGTATGTAAATAACTGAAGTCTATTGCCTCGCCCCGTGGCATCACAATATGTAGCTGTAATGTTATTTGCTTTAATAAATGAATATAACTTGGATAGGAAACAATCGAAAACCTATCAAAAATAAAACACAAGCCTCATTTATATTTCAGGAAAGAACCCTTAGTAATGGCACTACTACAGCATGTTACTTTGCCAGCATATACACAGATTCCAGTCTTCTTCTTGGAGAGATTGCAGGCAAGTGAAATGTCCTTTTTTCCATGTTTCATTGATGTCATGTTGGTCTAATTATCCATTATTTAATAATTAGCATCTCATGGCTAATTTTAATTGATAATTTAAATCCATCCCATCCATCCATTTTCCAAACCACTATTCCGTCTGGGTCACGGGGGGGCGGAGCCTACGGGCACGAGGCTGGGAACAACCCTGGATGGGGGGCCGACCCATCGCAGGATAATTTAAATCAATTAATTTAAACCACAACAAGGAAATTGTGCATATACTGCATGTATAATGATCTCCTTAACAAAGTGAAGCTTTTGAAATATAAACTGTATAGGTCTATATTTATATAAGTGTAGATGGTTTGCAGCTCAGCATGTCAGTGATCTGTGTCCAGGGTTCAAACCCTGTGGCCACTGGAGTAATCGATTGTTTCAGTGTTGAGCCCTTTCAGCAAGGTATTTAATCTCAAATGCTCCAAAAGGCAAATAAGTAAAAACAGATGCAAGAACAAGCAAAACTTTGACCCTATCACTGATAAATATCAAACCTACTCAACACACTTTTAAAATGCATTGGCACTGGCTATAAGGATACATTTCCCATTGAAAGGAAATTTTCCAGATGATTGCCTTACTGTATCTTTCAGGTTGCACTTCCTGAACTGGGGGTTTGAATAGCACTTCCGCTGTGTGCATGTGCGTTCCCTGTGATGGACTGGCATCCCAGTCAGGGTGTACCCCTCCCTTGTATCCTGTGCAGCCTGGAGTATGCTCTGTTCCCCAGTGACCCTGATCAAAAGAGGGTTCATCCTATGTCTCTCTGATATGTACAGTATGTTAATAGTCTTTATTTATAATCTTTAGAATTCTCTGTGTCATGATAAAGTACTTCACTCATTCATAATTCTGAATGTTTTTGATTATCCAACCATCCATTTTCTGTGCCTGCTTGTCATAGCAGGGTTGTGGGGGTCTAGAGCAAATCGTGGAGGCTGAGGATGCAGTGCAGGGGTGCCACCCCATTGCAGAACACACACAGGGACACACACACACACAGGGACACACACACACACAGGGACACACACACACACACACAGGGACACACGGACACACACACACAGGGACACACACACACACACACACAGATTTTGACTAGATCACTCCAAAACCTTAAATTCTGTAGCAGGACTCATGTCTTCTTAAAAGTTCCACTTTTGACTCATCAGCACACAGAAGATTCTCCCCAAAGTGACGGAGGTAATGGTGATGTTTGTTATGGCAAAGTGAGCCTTCATGGTCCTCTTGGTCACCTGTGGGTTTTCACCTTGCAGCTGTCCCATGGCATTTCTGCCCACTGTCTTTCTTTCTAATAATGGAATCCTGAACACAGACACTATCTGACCTGAGAGAGGCCTGCAGCTCCTTAGGTTTGGGGTCTGCTGGGACCTTCTTGGTCGGTTTCCAGTGCATTCTTGCAGTAAATCAGCTAAGTTAGCCACTCCTGGGCAGATTTTCCACTGTTCCAAGTTTGTCTTTCCCATTTGGAGATGGTCCTCACGGTGATTCACTGGAGTCCAAGGGTCTTCAAGAGTGCTTTGTACCCCTGTCCCAACTAATATATTTCAGTAATTCACTTCAGTCTTCAGGAAGTTCTTTTGATTGTGTCACGCTGTGCTGCTTCTTGATACCCCTTATCCAAATTCACATTGCTGGAATGGTTCTATTAAAGTCATATGTAGATTCAACATGAGTGGCAGCAATCAAGCTGGGGTGTGTCCAGTTTAATTTACCCATTATCATTTAGATTTGGTTCATTGATTGATTGAGTGACTAAGGGAACAATTAGTTTGTTAGATGGGTGACAATATTTTGTCATGGAACTATACTGTCCCATTGCTTTATATCACTGTCATCACATGCTCACTTTATTTTTTGCAACTGTAACTGCAGTTTCAGGACGGCGATCTCCTACCATCCTTCATTAACTCTAAACTGTAATACGCTAAGAGCTAATCGAAGTGTAGTGACATTTTTTTTTTACCTTTCTCTTCAGCAAAGTTTGGTCAGCGAGCTCTGGTGGGCAAAGTGTGCATGGATGTCAATGACTCTCTGAAAGTTTACAGAGAAACGACAGAACAGTCAAGGGAGGAAACCGATCGGTAGGCGAACTTGTCAGCACCTTAACCCTGTTGAGAAGATGAAGACAACAAAATTATAACAATGTTTCTCATCGTGTTACTTGCTCATGTATTGCAGCTGGGTCACGGCCAATGTGCATGGACTTAAAACAGAAGATGTCTAACTGTGTTACGATGACATTGACATGAAATATCGTGCTGTTTATAATGTTATGTCTGATTTTAGGTTCATTAACGAATTATTGAGAAGAAATGTAAGTATTTGTACGATAAAGCAAGCCCGAAATAGTCCACAAATGTTACATACATCACAAAGATTAGACCTGTTGTTTAACCCTCAAAAATCTGAAGTGGTGACTGAAATTAATTTTATGCTATGGTTAAAGTGCATTACTTAATGAAGTGATTATAGCTGAGCCTGAGATAGCTCTGTTTGCCTCCTAGTATCCCCTGGTGAAGCCCATCGTTACACCACGCTTTGCCCCATCTTGCACTTCAGACCTGCTCAGGCAGTTGGGCGAGATTGCAGAGAACAATGACTTGCATGTCCAGGTGAGTCCTTTCAGTGTGGCTCCGGGGAACTGATCTGAGTCTGCTTTCGCTGTGGGCTGCTTGTCGACACAAACTTCGGTTCATTAAATCAGGCAGGCAGACAGACAGACAGACAGACAGACAGATAATCCTGAAGGAAACCACGCAGTACACTATGGACTCGATATGTGAAAACATGAAGAGGGTGATGTTCATCCATTCCTCGAGTCGTCTTCTATAATCACTTAATCAGTGGATACAGGATGACATGTTTCATATATGCCATGCATGTACTCAAATATGTCCAAAAGTATATAAATGTCCTATATAAATGAATATTTTGCCTAATTAAGTCACACCCATTACTGAGACAAGTGTGTCATTAATTTTACAGTGATACAATATCCTGCATTAAACATGAGCAGCAGAATGAGTCATTGACAGGAGAGGATAGTGACACTCCACTTGGCACCTTCACAGGATGGCATTTTTCCAACAAGTCAGTTCACCACATTTCTGCCCTGCTAGAGCTGTCCTGGTCAACCTCGAATTAAGTGATTGTGAAGGTCAAAATGCCAGGGAGCAAATTCAGTTGCAGTTTAGAGAACATGGGTCCAAGCAACTAGAGAAGGTGGGACTAAGGTGCACCTCCTCTAGTTCTTTGGGCCCACCTCCTCTGCAATCTGATTGGTTATCTCTCTGAACCAATAATTTTTCCTTCTTCCCTCAGAACAATTTCGTACACTTAAAAACTCCCATGAGCGTAACTTGTAATCTTAGCTAAACAGAGTTTTGCTCAATGGTGCTCTTCCAGTGGCCATTTTCAAGGCAGCAGTATAACAACAAATATATTTTTAAATGTGATTCCTTTTATTCCACTAGAGTCACATAAGTGAGACAAAAGATGAAATGAGTCTGGTGGAGACGATGTTTCCTGAATCCCAGTCCTACACAGATGTGTATCTCGAGCACGGCCTCCTCACTAGCAAGGTCAGTATACACCAATGTCAAATTGGCAGCATTGTTTGCCGTCTTTTAGGTCTTAAAAATTTCCCCATAGGCCCTCAAAACCGTAAATAATCAACCCGATCTCACGAATTTTCGTGCAGCCATCACGACATAAAATCCATTTAAACGTGCTGTGATCACGTTTTCGGCTTTTTTTTAAAGTGCTGGGGCAACGTTTCCCCTCCCGGACATTATTCAAATGCAATTGCAAATGGACTTTGCTTTTTTATTTGAAATGTGGCAGTCAGTGTTCGTTCGCGAAAGCAAACGGTAATGCAAAATTTGCAATTGCATTTGAATAATGTCCGTGATTTCCCTCCATACACTAACTCATTCATGAAACAGAAGTAAAATCCAAGCGCTGTTTTGCAGGGTCGCGTCTGTCATGCCCCGATCGTCCGCTCCTCTCATGTGCCACGCCCCCTCGTTAACCTCATGTGGAATCCCAGTGTTTTACAGCTGTTCCTGATTGTTGTCATTAGTCCATTGTATTTAGTCCGCGTTTCCGTTTGTTTCCCCAGTCCGGTCATTGATGTGATATGATGTGTGTTGTTGCCTGCTTAGTGCTCCGATTAAACCCTGTGTTCCTGATTCCTGGCTTCCTGCTTATTCGTCTACGCTCCGGGCACTTACGCGATCGTAACAGCGTCACACGTTATCAGATCACGAAAAACACAATAGGATTCTGGGGATGCATGACTTTCCCGTCATTAGTCACCAGTTAGCGCTCATAGTGGCGGTGTTAGGCACTGCCCATTAAAACACATAGGGAGGGCAAACGTTGCCCCAGCACGTAAAAAAAGCCGAAAACGTGATCACAGCACGTTTAAATAGATTTTATGTCGTGATGGCTGCACGAAAATTCTTGAGATCGGGTTGAAATAAACCCATAAATTGAACTGTATTGAGAAATGACAGCGTCTATTGTGTATATCTTGGAATGTAATTTAAACTACACATGCTTTTGCTGCATGAAAGTGGTCATAACATTTCCCAGGCAACGGTCACACTGTTATCTCAGTTTATTACATCATAAGAGGACTGTTATCATGCCTCATAGGCCGATATCATGTGACTATGACAAAAAGGAAAAAAAACACAATGAAATTCACCATGTTCCATATTCCATTATGCTGCCATTATGCTGCCATTATGCCGTCTTTGTCAGTTCTCTGGTATCATGTGCAGTGGTGGCTTCTGCATCCAGACCTCAAACCATAGATTTTCACTCTGTGCACTTGCATACTATGTAAATATGTATAGTATCTTTATCCCTAGGGGCATAAGGTAAGAGACCATAAAAGTAGGACTTTGACCTGTTCTTGTTTGTCTTGAAATCATGAACTTTCAATGACAGTATTTGGAAAGCAGTTGTGAGTTGTCATGCTGCTCAGAGAATTGTTATTAGTATACAAATGATATTGCAGTAAGCAGGACAATCTTTCAGCTTTAGTGTTTGTATAATCGGTGTGTTTATTTTGAGTGTTGAATTCTGGAGTTTAGAACTCATGGCAGTGTCAGTAATGTGAATGGTGATTTACAGACCGTGATGGCTCATGGCTGTCACCTGACTGATGACGAGCTGGTTATCTTCAGAGACACTGGGGCTTCCATTGCTCACTGTCCCAACTCCAACATCTCGTAAGTGCTAAGCAGCTTGGCCTCCTGCCCTGAGATATAGCCCAGAACTTAGGTGGAACCTTCAGCCAAACCTATGAAATTAAGTGTTTGTTCAGACTTAATTGGATATTAAACATTTCTAATGCTGATATTACCATATACCGTACAGTCAAATTAAATGAATTAAAAGGCGGAAACCCCCAGCCAAAACTGATTATTATTGCAAAAAAAGTTTTCTCAGTGCTAGTTGATGTTCTTGTCTTGTGCACTATGTATGCATTTATATGTGAATGTACACTCACCTAAAGGATTATTAGGCACACCTGTTCAATTTCTCATTAATGCAATTATCTAATCAACCAATCACATGGCATTTGCTTCAATGCATTTAGGGGTGTGGTCCTGGTCAAGACAATCTCCTGAACTCCAAACTGAATGTCAGAATGGGAAAGAAAGGTGATTTAAGCAATTTTGAGCGTGGCATGGTTGTTGGTGCCAGACGGGCCGGTCTGAGTATTTCACAATCTGCTCAGTTACTGGGATTTTCACGCACAACCATTTCTAGGGTTTACAAAGAATGGTGTGCAAAGGGAAAAACATCCAGTATGCGGCAGTCCTGTGGGCGAAAATGCCTTGTTGATGCTAGAGGTCAGAGGAGAATGGGCCGACTGATTCAAGCTGATAGAAGAGCAACTTTGACTGAAATAACCACTCGTTACAACCGAGGTATGCAGCAAAGCATTTGTGAAGCCACAAGACGCACAACCTTGAGGCGGATGGGCTACAACAGCAGAAGACCCCACCGGGTACCACTCATCTCCACTACAAATAGGAAAAAGAGGCTACAATTTGCACGAGCTCACCAAAATTGGACAGTTGAAGACTGGAAAAATGTTGCCTGGTCTGATGAGTCTCGATTTCTGTTGAGACATTCAAATGGTAGAGTCAGAATTTGGCGTAAACAGAATGAGAACATGGATCCATCATGCCTTGTTACCACTGTGCAGGCTGGTGGTGGTGGTGTAATGGTGTGGGAGATGTTTTCTTGGCACACTTTAGGCCCCTTAGTGCCAATTGGGCATCGTTTAAATGTCACGGCCTACCTGAGCATTGTTTCTGACCATGTCCATCCCTTTATGACCACCATGTACCCATCCTCTGATGGCTACTTCCAGCAGGATAATGCACCATGTCACAAAGCTCGAATCATTTCAAATTGGTTTCTTGAACATGACAATGAGTTCACTGTACTAAAATGGCCCCCACAGTCACCAGATCTCAACCCAATAGAGCATCTTTGGGATGTGGTGGAACGGGAGCTTCGTGCCCTGGATGTGCATCCCACAAATCTCCATCAACTGCAAGATGCTATCCTATCAATATGGGCCAACATTTCTAAAGAATGCTTTCAGCACCTTGTTGAATCAATGCCACGTAGAATTAAGGCAGTTCTGAAGGCGAAAGGGGGTCAAACACCGTATTAGTATGGTGTTCCTAATAATCCTTTAGGTGAGTGTATATATAATCAGTCTGGCTGTGGTATTTACGAAAGCAAACTGGTGTATATATTGTTTATTTGTCCAAAATATTTTGTTTGTATGTTGGATGTATGGTTGACAATGATGCGAATGATGAGCCGATGCCATTTGTTGATTTACATTTTTTTTACTTATCTCTATCATAAATTGCATGGTGACTACAGAGAAGCGACATTTCATGGTAGCCACATGGGGCGTTTCTGCACATGTAAGCTTATGTGGTGAGGTGAGGATCTCGAATCACATCTAAAGCGGCTATGTGGGTGGCATGGTGGTGCAGTGGTCAACGCAGGTTTTTCCCAGGATAGGCTCTGTCCCCCCTGCGATCCCAGTTGGGATTAAGCAGTGATGGTGATGGATGGATTGAGTGGCTATCGGCTTGCTTATTTTTCATGGGCTTCTTAAAGTGCTCTATTACAGTCTTGGTGGTTGATTTCATGAGAAATGTATCGCCTCTTCCTCATAGCAAGCCTTTTAGCATAGAAATAGTCCTTGTTATTGTATAAATGCTATGCAGCAGTCTAGTGTGGATCTAGCCTGGTATGGTGTACATCAGCGTACAGCTATGTTGTGGATGTGATATTAAGAGGCAGGATTCTGTAGACTGCTAAAGTGCTCAGTAAATGCACTCAATCAATGTCTTTTGTTACTGGGAACAAATCTCTGCCCTGAGCGCCGCACCTGAAAACTATGGGTTATGATCTCAGTAGGACTTGTGCCCATCAGATGTGTCACAAGCCTGGTGCATTTGGGGTCCTGAATGAATCCAGATGAACCCCAAGTTTTTTGTTTTTTAACAAAGTGTTTTAACAACCATGCTCTCGGGTTGGGAACCCAGAGATTAGGTCTCTGGGCTCAGGTCTGGATGTCCATTATCCTGCAGATAAAAAGCAGATAAATCTATTCAAGCTCGTTACTTTGTTTGACCAGGCTCTGAGTTTCATTGGTGTTCTTCCCAAGGCTGTGCAGCGGCATGCTGGATGTCCGCAACGTTCTGAACAAAAAAGTGAAACTGGGCCTTGGAACAGGTATGCTGAGACAAATAAAACTACTTCATTATCTTGATTCATCCTGCTCTATTTTTTATATATCTTTGATATTAATCTGATATCAATCCTCGTTTGTCACTTCTATTATAACATTTTCCTACCTGCGTTACCTTGATCTTCGCAGATGTTGCTGGCGGGTGCTCGGTCTCCATGCTCGATGCCATCCGGAGAACGATGGAAACCTCCAAAGCCCTGAAGATCAACAACCCTCAACATGAATGCCTCCGTATTGACGAAGTCTTTAGACTGGCCACACTGGGGGGAAGTCAAGGTTGGAGATGTACTATTATTCAACTGGCATACATAAAGAAATCGTAGTCAAGTTACGTTTTCTGGTCAGGCAGCAAGTAGAGGGCAGGTAATTAGGTGGTGCAGGGTTAAAACGATCGAGGGCTACTTCTGTTATACTCTTGAACAAAGTACTGTGTTAGTAAGTCAGTAAAAAGTTCATTCATCTATCCATCGTCCAACCTTTGACCCAGTAAAGGGGTTGCAGGAGGTGTAAAGAAGTGATCTATCAAAATTTGTCAAGCAAATAAATGATGCCAAATGATGACTGGAATGTTCTCAGGAAACGAGAGTGTGATCTTCATCTGATTCCTTGTGCTAAATTTCAGTCTCTCAGCCGTGATGTATTTCCTGGTTGTCTTTCCAGCTCTGTCCCTGGATAAAGAAACAGGAAATTTTGAAGTGGGGAAGGATTTTGATGCACTGCGCATAGATCCCACAGCCTCCGAGAGCCCTTTCGATGTCTTCAGCGGTGATGACATTGAAGTACATCCTCACGCTCCTTAGCATTTTTATCTGTGAATCTGGGCACATGTTATACATATATGGAAAAATCACACTTATACTCTGCTGACTATAGTGTCAGAGAGTAGGTCCATTTACAGATAATTACTCATCCCTGGGTTTCATCCAGCTGTGCAGATTTAATGTGTCTTGTACAGAGACAGTAAGAAGGCTCTCTGTTGATCTACTCTGTTGATTAGTAATTAAGAGAAGACAGAAGCATAGCAGTCATTTTATTTGGTACTAGTATTCCATGTTATAGGAGATAAATTAAAGCAAGTGATCATCTGCTGTGCAGGGTAATTTTAATACTGTCTTATAACTTATTTGTAATCTCTCACGTTGCAGATAATCCTGGAGAAGTTCTTGTATTTGGGTAAGTCTGTGTTTAACTTTCTCCTCAAAACATTTATTTTGTGGAACTAATAACTTGTCTACTCATGTCCTCAGGGGCATCGGAAATTGTGCCCACTGTGATGGCGTGATTTACGTGCCCCAAACTCCTCTGACGCCGCTACATGACCTGAGTACTAAATACTAAACTGAGGGAATCATAGCTGTGGCGCATGTATGGTGACTCAGTTGGTAGCACTATTGCCGCATACCTGCAAGGCTAGGGGTACAAATCCCAGCCCTGCTCTGTGAAAGTGTGGAGTTTGCACTTTATGCATGTGTTGTGTGAGTTTCGTCAGGGTGCTCTGTAATCATGATTCGCAATTGAGCCAAATGGTTTCCCTAACTTACCTAGCAGTGTGGTTCGGTGGGTTAAGATGCTGTGCCTGTGATTGCAAGGTTGCCAATTCAAATCCCAGGATCTGCAGAGTAATTTCGCCATTTGGCCCTTGAGCAAGGCCCTTAGCCACCAATTGCTCCTGGAATTGTCTAACCCTGCTGATTCTATAAAAGCATCTGCTAAATAAATTAAATGCATATGTACTTTGTGGGTGTTTTACTTATACAAAAATGTTATCAGGGCAGAACGAAGAATGAGTTGTTCAGAGAGATAACCAATAAGATTGTAGAGGCAGTGGGTCCAAGTAAGGGGGGACTAAGACATCTGATTGGTTGGTCCTGCCTCCTCCAGTTGCTTAGACCCACCTCCACTACAATCTGACTGGTTGTCTCTCTGAACTAATCACTGTTTTTCTGCCCTCAGAACATTTTGTGTAAATGAATGTATGTGTAGTCTCACCATATTTTGTTTGTTTAGCGTGCATTGACTACATTTACAAACATCTAGATTTTTGGAAATATAGACTACAAAACTGTGACCTTGTTTCAAGTTTTAAAGTTTTATTATCGGAAGGACACAATGAAATGCCACAGTTGCAGAGGAGGCGACAGGTGTTTGGGAGGATAATGGAACAGCAGCAGGACAATACAGGACAAACAGTGGCTGGTGTAATAAAAAACTTTCCAACGATATAACATATTTTCTCTCTCTGACTGTGTAGGTGACGACCGCAATATCAGGGAGGTGTTTGTCGCTGGCAGAAGGGTGGTGCCGTTTGCGGAGCCCGTCTAGCCGCATGCTGCTTACACTTATTCATGGATTCATCCAACTTTTTTTGAAGGCTGTGATCAGCATTTACATATTATAAGCATAGTTCTATGATTCGTGTGAGTATAGTTACAGGGATTCATTCATTTTTTTTTGCTTATATTTCAGTTTGCACTGTGGAGGGATTTCAAGCAGGTAGCCACTTAATTACGGTACCTTTTTAAGCTAAAGTACCTGACTTCATTACAATACTACTGCATACAGTGCAGAATAACACACTTCAAACAGTCCTCATCATGGGCAAACTTGGTTGTGGATAACCTTCTGCCTTGCTGCCCCCCACTGGCTAATAAGGAAAAAAGGGAGACACATAATTACCAATTTAAACATACTGTTAAGCCTTGTTTTAAAAAGGAAATAAATGAAAGTACTTATTAACATTTTGCACTGCCACTGGCTTCTAGTGCAGTGTTTCCCCACTGGGACCCCCAAACAGTCCATGTTTAATCCTCCTACCAGAAACTGGGAGGGAGCAAAAATGTGGACTGTCTGGGAGGGAGCTGGGAGGGAGCAAAAATGTGGACTGTCTGGGAGGGAGCTGGGAGGGAGCAAAAATGTGGACTGTCTGGGAGGGAGCAAAAATATGGAGTCTCTGGGGGTCACCGAGGACCAGACTGAGGGACACTGACCTAGACTTATACAGGTTACTACAAAATAAAGGGGAAAAAAATGACAGGGAAAATTGCACTGTTTATAACTGAAGGATTATCCAGTGAACTGTACAGAAATGTTATTCTTAATATAAATGAGCATAACATTCATAGAAATAACATGTATGCTCACTGAAAGAAATGGAAACATTTGCCTTAACATATATTTAATGCCTTATACCTGCCTGTGGACTGTCAATCAAATGCACTTTGAGGGAGAGATTTTCCTCCATGATCTTGTATCAAACTTGAAAGTTAAATTCAGCTGAAGGCCATTTTGGATTTCCTACAGTATATAAACATACAAGAAATCATTCACCCTAATTTTCTTAATGAGACCAAGTATACCATACATGAATGATTTCTGGTGTTTCTGACTCAGGAACGACCTCGCTACAATTAAGATTCAGTCAAGCGTGTGCGATGATTTAACGATCTTTACTCTCTGTATGGCTTTTGTCTGTTTCCCTTCACTCTGTTTTTGTAGTTTTTTGACTCCACTCCAGTACCAAAGATTTCCTTTCAGGCATCTGCAGCAAACACCTGACATTTGAAGGGACCAAGGCTATTGCTCTATGACTTTTATGCTTGATTCTGTTAGTTACACATTAATCCTAGCTAAGCATATTAAAACCGTATATGTTGGATTGTACCTGTAATTCAATTGTATAGTTTTTATGGGACAAATACTATTAGTATACTAATGATGTAATTCACATAATGTCAGTGAAGTTATTCATGATTAAAGTTTTTTTTTGTCCACCAACACATCTGATTTTATTTGCTCAACCAAAAATAAAATAGGCATCTTTCTGCTGAGGAAAGCACTTTCTTTCTGTAAATGGTGGTACAAATATGTTCTTAGCCCACAACAGTTGGTGTGTAAAAGAGGCCTGCTAATTGTTTTGTACTGAATAGATCACGGGGTGTCACAGTAGTACAGTTACTAGCAATGTTGCCTCAAACCAATTGAGGCTCTATTTGTGTAGAGTTTGCTTGTCCTCCCTGTATCATTGTGGGGTTGCCTCTAAAGCAGGGGTGTTAAACTCCAGTCCTGGGGGGCCGGAGTCCTGTGTAGCTTTAGTTCTTTCCCTGTTCCACCACAAATGATTCAGCTCAAGAGCTGTGTGGTAATTAGCACAAGGAGCTGAATCAGGTGTGTTGAATGAGGGTGAACCAAAAACTGTGTAGGGCTCCGGCCCTCCATGACTGGAGTTTGACTCCCCTGCTCTAGGGTCGCTGGTTTTCACCCCCCCAAAAAAAGTCACACACTAAAGTGAATTGCAGTTCCCAGATTGTGAGTGGTGTATGTGCCCTGCGATGGGTTATATGAAATTCTGGACACATCTGCTTTTAATATATTTGTCTCTATTTTAGATTTGTTATTCACCTTATAGTAAAAGGCCTCAAAGCAGTGAAGTAATGCATATCACATATTGCCATGACCAAGAGAAGTGTTAAACATCTCAAATTTTCAGAAATTTAAGATTCTTCAAAACAGCCTCATTTTCCCTTAATGACAAAAGTGCAAACTGTTGGCATTCTTTCAATCAGCTTCCAGATGTAGCCACCTGGAACGCTTCTTCAACAGTCTTGAAGGAGTTTCCACATGGTCTGGGCACAAGTTGACTACATTGCACAACATCCCAGACCAGCTCTGTAGGGTGTAGTTTGGGGGGAGCGGGGGGGAGCAGGTCATCTGTTGCAGTGCTCCATTTGTTTTTGCTTATTCACAAGATAATACAGTTCTTAGATAACCTCTAGGTGTGCCTTGAGTTGTTACCTTATGGAAAACCAAATGATTTTCAGTAGGTGTGTCCATATATATATGTATGCATATATGAACTAAGTGCTGTGCCAGTGAGTTAATAAGAATCTATATATATACAGTATATACACAATGAGTACATCATCAATCAAGAAGACCTTACTATTTAAAGATGACAAATGCCAATTTGAGAGTTTAAATGGGTTCCACATTTCTTTAAGTTTAATGTTGCTTTTTGAGTAGATGACATCTAAACAGTAATATGTAATAAGTGTGATCCGGTGATTAATCTTTAAATATTTCATGAATTAGCAAGATATTTTTTTTGACATGTTAGAGGTAGAGTATTATGTGCAAGCCATTCAGGACATGGAGAATGAGAACAGACCTACAGCTATGTGAAAAAGAAAGTACACCCTCTTTCAGTTTTACATACCAGGGCATAATAAATCTCATCTTTACTAGGTTCTAAAATTATTTAAATCTAACCTCAGGTGTAAAACAAAACACTGCGTCATTATTTATTTAACAAAAATTAAACAAAAATGGAGAAGTCATTTGTGAAAAACTAAGTATGATTCAGTAGCTTGTAGGACCATGTTTAGCAGCAATCAACTTGAAGTAAATGTTTTCTGTATGACTTTATCAGTCTCTCACATCATCGTGGATGAATTTTGGCCCACTCTTCTTTTCAATGTTGCTACAGTTCATTGAGGTTTGTGGACATTCCTTTATACACAGCTCTCTTAAGTTCCTGCCACAATAATTCAATCGGGTTGAGGTCTGGACTTTGACTGAACCATTGCAACACCCTGATGCTTTTCTTTCCTCCTATCCTGCTGTAGGTTTGCTGGTTTGCTTGGGATCATTGTCCTGTCGAATGACCCAATTTCAGCCAAGTTTTAGCTATCGGACAGATGGCCTCACATTTGACTCTACAATACTTTGGTATACAGATGAGGAGCTACAGGCCACTTGGCAACAATGTCTAAAACGTCCTTGATGGTTGCATATCACCTGGACATTTAGTCCTAGGAAAACTTGACAATGTAAGCTTTGTTTGGAACTACTGTAAGTGGCCATGAACCACGTGATCACGTGGTGGTGAGATCAATCAGCGTCGCAACTCTCTTTCTCTCAGCAGCTTTGGGTTGGAAGACTCGTAAATCTAAGAGCAAGATTACGACCTACTTTAGTTACGAAGGGTTTCGCGAAATGCTCGCTATTTCACAATCGATCTTAAATGCTAGATGAAAGAACTACTTAGTGTTACAAAGATTCAAGCTGTTTTATAACAAAATAATTTACACAATCATATATGAATCTTACCATTTCAATGAAGTTTATTAAAACATTATCGCTGGGCAGGTCCCTGCTTGCCAATCTATGTACCTGATTAAAAATTCTCCTGGTCTCCATTTTAGGGGGACTAAAGACCAGTTAAGCAGCCCAGGTGGTGCCCCTGCTGCCCAGTGAGTAGGGTTGCCTTCCAGGTTTTCTTCCTCTCTCTGAGGGAATTTTTCCTTGCCACTGTCACCTCAGGCTTGTGCTCCGGGAACCTAAAGCCTGGAACTCAGAGAAGTGCCATATAAAATGCTCATTGGTAAAGCACTATATAATGAATGAAAGTTATATTTACATAGCGCTTTTCAGAACCAGTGGGGAGCCACTTCAACCACCACTGTGAAACACCCACCAGGATGAAGCAACGGCAGCCATTCTGCATGGGTACTCTCTATGGGTACTACTACAGTACCCATTCTGCATGGGTACTCTCACCACACAGTAGCTAAGGTTTTACATCTCATCCAAAGGATGGCACAATTTTTACAGCACAGTGTTCCCATCACCACACTGGGGCATTGGGATCCACACTGACTACAGGATTGGCTAACCAGTTGGCCACAGTGTCCCATTACTGCACTGGGATCCACACTCACCACAGGGTGGACTAACCTGTCAGCCACACCAGCAGCAACCCAGCTTTCCCAGTTGGTTTCCCATCCACATACTGGCCAGGCCCAAATCGGCTTAACTTCAGGTGGATCACCTAGTCTGAACTGCAGGTACTATGGATGCTGACATTAACTCATGAACAATGACATAGGTAATCAATCAATTACATTTATTTAGGAGACTTTTCTTTCCAAAGCAGTGTACAGGTGAGGATCAGAGAGCAGGATTAGGCAGCTTCCCTGGAGCATTTGACCTTGCTCATGGGACCGATGGAAACATCACCCAGCCAGCCACAGGACTTGAACCAGCCACCTTCCGGTCACAGATCCATGAACCACCCACATATGTTTAGCTTATTGATCAAGGAGGGAAAATTGTTCCAGATGTTCCAGGTGAAGCTTTGAATGGCTGCTGCAGACACTGCCGTATAAGTTCCATGCAGTGGACAGGCAAGAACAGGCAGCCACCTTGGGCCGCCAGAAAACAGGGGTCCCTTGAAGATACATTTCCCAGAAGTTACATTTATGAATATAGGCTAATATGTTGCATCCCCTGTCCAGACTGTAATCGAGGTGTTATGCTATAATGCAAGAAGCTCATGTTAATAGATGGAGTTAGTCAGGGCCCCGTTTATGTTTTTGGCCGCAAACCTTTAAGTCCACCTCTATCGATTGCCCTTCGATAGCTGCCTTTAATTTGCAAGGCGAGCTGGCACTTTTGTCCAAAGCGACATACAAGTGGGTCTCAGAGAGCTTTTGGGGTTGGCTGTATTAAATGTCGACGATATTGCTGCTTGCGCCGGCCCCTCTCATAGGCTGGTGGTGCTCCCGTTTAAATCCGAGCTGTCATTTTCACCTGCCAGCTGTCTTTAACACTCCCTCTGGCTGTCAATTACCACCCACTTTCCCAGACCAACAAAAGCCGTGTTTGTTTATAATAATAGGAAGCTTCCCTCAGCTAACTAGTGTGAAACAACTGCAGTTATGCACATAAAAATTCCTGCAGTGGGTTGGAGCCTTAGACCTGGGTCAGGACCCCTGTGACCCTCCATCGGACAAATGGGTAAAGAAAATGAAAGGCTGTTATAAAAAAAACCGCCACTTGGGGGAGCACTAACACTACAGTTTCATATTCAGTATACTGTGGCTTTCCATAACAATATGTCTTAAAGGCCAGGGGCATTATAAATAACAATATTACATATTCCTAAACAATATTTTTTTTTATAAAATATGGAACCCCCAAGATTCTGTCCATGATACCCTGTTGGAGGATGGATTAAACTTCTTTTTTTGTCTGCATGTTTGCACATTTTTAACATGATGGCATTTCATTGTTTTTAAATAAAAAAATTTTAAAAGAAGGTGTCTGCAGAAAGAAAAGACAAAAAAAAAAATTCTGTGACCACTGTCCATTTATTTCTATGGGCAAAACTCTCCCAATCCCAATAATGACCTTAACCCCTACCCAGCCCTAACCTTAACCATAAGTAACCAAAAAAAATTTGATTACAGCCTCAGATTTTCATAAAATCGAATTTTCCCTTGTGGGGACTGAAAGAATATTCCCCGTAAAGTAAAAATAACAGGTTTTTAATCACATTGTGGGAACATTTGGTCCCCAAGATGTAATGTATACCTGGATCTCACACACGCACACACACACACACACACACACACACACACACACACACACAGTGATCTAGATTACATCACAAGCTAGGTGATTTATCATTACCCTCAAAATTTTCTAGAATGTTCTTATGTGTGTAACCTTAGATGTGAGAACAATGTTAAATAGAAAATATGCCCCCACAGTGTTCACCTAATTTACAACTCATGCAGACTTTTTTAAACAGTTGACCGTTCCTGCAATAAGGGTGAGAAGGAGAAAGAAAGAACCTTTGGTTTACCTCAGCACAAGAGGCATTTAACGATGTCCTGCAAAGACTCCTGGGATCTGAAGATAGCATGAAAGCAAGCAGAACAGCTCATACAAACAGGCTTGGTGGGGGCACTGCAACCTGCCATTAACAAAAACTTGGAAACAAGCTTTTATCACATTCAACTGAGTTTGATCCTTCAGAAATGCAGAACAGCATTGATCCTGCACTCACCTACACACTGGGCAATTCGGACCTTTGCCAAATAGGGGGAAGCTGCACGGTGAGTGTGACCACAAGAGAGATAAAAAGCCTGAGTTCTAAAGGTTAGCAGAAGAAAGAGTGACAAGAAGCGAGGGAGAGAGCAGGAGTGAGCAGCAACTCCACGTGAGGGTGACGTCAGCTGGGAGGGGAAGAGCAGAGCAGAACCTGCTGAGGTGCAGAAGTGCAGAGTAAGAGGGTCAGACAGAAGGAGATTAGTCTGCCTGAGAAGCTGCAGCTAGACTGCGCAGAGGGCAGCAGTCTCTAGGCACGGTGATGCAGGAACACTAACATGGCCTAGCGACTTAAAGAGACAGCAAGATTACACTACAGCGGTGTTTCCCAACCCGGTCCTCAGGGACCTGCAGACGGTCCACATTTTTGCTCCCTCCCAGCCCCTTACCAGGGAGGGAGCAAAAATGTGGACTGTCTGCGGGTTCCTGTCGACTGGACTGGGAAACACTGCAGTACAGTCTCATCAACAGACCACCCCGTAGGGAGTAAGGGGTCAACCCACGGAATATTGTGACAGAGATTGTAATCAAAATGCCACTGACATGGTGTTTAAAGACATAGCCTCAATAAAAACATTTTGCCATGGACACAGAGGAGTCCTGCCACAGACATGTTTGTCCGTGTAACGACAATTTGATGATGCTTGCTCTGACATAAATACTGAAATGAAAATATTTCACTCCTAGAATGTAATAATACAAAATAACACCTGGTTGAATATATATGCAGGTTAAATCCATAATGTATGGATGTATGCAATGTACTTCGAAATGCAATTTAATGACTGCACCGAGAAATACCGTTGTTTTTACCACTGTTTACAATGGGTCTTTTATGCAGCATGCTTCTCTCTCACAAAGTGTCTCCAAAACAGATGAGACCAGTCTTCCCAGTGCCTCACATGTTGCTGTCATGCAGGCGACTTTCTGTGCTCCTCAGGCAGCAGGTGAACGTCTCTCTCTGTGCAGCTGGTGGCCCGTCAGCGGTCTGCTTGTGGCCAAATCTACCTTCTTGCGTTCAAGACGTCAAGCCTTGTGGTTTTCTTAAATTTATGTAATAAGGAACAATGAGGGACGGCCTGCATGAGGTCTGCTGAGATGGATAAAATCCAGCCATAATGTGGAATTTTCCACAATGTATATATTACAATTGCTACAAGAAATGCTGATTGTTACGTGCATTTTAATTGATAGCAATCCTTAGTCTCTAACCCAGGGGTGGCCAATCTAATGTGCCAATCAGTCCTCTAATTAGTAATCTCACAAGGGAGTTCCAGTGAAAACCCACATACACTCTGGCCCTTTCTGGATAAGATTGCCCAGCCCTACTCTAGCAAAGTATAGTTGAAATGACTCAGATAATGACTGTGACACAATCCGTCTTTGTAATCCTTTGTAATCCATCAGATCCTTATCCATTCCTTTTGACCATTCACAAGAAGCAGCTAGCAGAGCAGACCATAGCATTGCTGGTCAGGGACACCACATTTCATTATACAGAAGAGCACTTCTGTAAAATATTAATAACACAAAACTTTTTGCTTCACTGACCACATGATGATTGCGCTTGTGGATTGTTTGTGTTAACTGACTTTAATTTGAATCCCGAATAATCATTTACAGCAAGAAACATCTAAAAGAAGTACTCCAGTGATTACAGTTCCTGCAGTATGTTATCCTGTCCAGATAAAGACTGTCTATTTAACTCTGGCTAAATACCATGTGACTCGCCTTGAATTTCTAAGCACAGCTCATCTGCACATGTGCTTCCTGCTTCAGAGCAATGCTGCTCCTTCAATCCCTCCTTTAAACACATACCTACAAGTTGTCACTAGGTGCATATTGGCTTCCCCGTACAGATAAGTCAGCACAAACACTACTTAACCAGAGCAGAAGTGATATAGATTTTAACGTCTGAGCCGTTTATTTCCTCCACCTAACCCCATTGAATTATGGGTATCGATTAGTCACGTATTACTAAGCCAGATACTATGGGTACTAACGTGACACAGATCTGAAATTAACAATGACGTTGACGTCATTCTGCTTAGTCTGTGATTCCGTCAGAAATGACGTAACACCTGGAAAGCATTCAAATGGCGATATCCATAGTAATTGTAAATAAGGGATGGTTTTAATTAAGAACACATGACTGTTTACACAAGTAGTCTGGAACTGGGCAGTTGGACCTGGGATGATACTAAACAGAACCCGACAAAGGACTGATCATATGAGTCAAAGCATGATTAATGATGGGCTAGTAAGGAAATCATGTGATGCGTTTAGAAAACATACCAATAGTAATTAAACAAGCATGTAATATTCTATATGAGCATGTTACGGTCAGATTTTCAGTATAACCTCTATGGTATTAAGCTAACTGAAAGGGTCTTTACACCATTTGTCTTGTAAACTGTTTGGAATTAACAGAGTTTGGAAAAGTACGTCATGTCACCCAGTCTGTTAAAAATAATAATTGTAATATTCAGCAGCGGGAATGTACAGCAGCAAACATACAATTCTCACTATTAACATTTCTAAATAGAAGCATTCCCAACCGAGAGCTCTTTGCTCACTATCACATATGCCACAAAGGAAGAATGGTTCTGGGTTTAACAGGAGTGCATTGTAATCTGCTTACTTCCTTCAATGACTTGCACACCACACACACCTCCCACAAAGTAAGAACTGAGCCCCATTCATGCAAGCAGAACATCTGTTACCAGACGTCCTGGTTGTGCCTTTTGAGTTGTGCCCCATGCAGACACAGAGAAAGCGGTAAATGCGGACAGCTGGTGCCAGGGACACCATTTAGGACAAGTATCACTAAGGGGGGAGAGGGGGCAGAGGACAAGGGAAAGGACAAGCTGTTGTACTTTTTGACAGTGAGGGCAAAAATGTCATTCTGACATAACCAGATCACTTTTCAATATCCACCGGTTCTGCTCGTCTAGTACAGGGTCACAGTGTAACATTGAGAATGATTTCCAAATGGTGCAGTGTCGACTAATCTATTAGGTTAATCTGTACAAACTTGTGGCTGTATTCCCCCTTGCATAATTTTACCTGGAAGTCCTGGGAACTGGTATTTTCACCTGCCAAACTGACACCAACCCAAATGGCATGTCCAAGTATGACTGATGTCCTGAATGTCTCAGTACTGGACCGTGGGAAGGGGGGGTTGGTTCACACCTCAACTCATTTTGCTTAACCATTATTACAGCTGTCCAGACAGCTGACAAAAGGCACACACCTGTTTCCCTGCTTCCTGGTGGGTGACAGGTTTGTTCACCACAGGTGAGCCAGAAGACAGACAATGAATTCAAGTGATCTGCATTAATTACCCATAAAAATCCCCAAAGGAGACAGAAAGTGAAGAGAGAAATGACATTCCGGAGGGTGACAACAGTAGGCCAGACAAAAGTTAAGTTTTCAGACAAAATTAAAAGATTTGAAAAGTCCCAGTCAACAAGAGTTTGGGCATTTTACAATAAGAAAAAAAAAAATCATTGTAGCCATTGGAGTGGTCTATCATGACTAGTTTCAGTAAAAAAACTGGTTCATGCATTTATACAGTGGTTCAAAGACAGAAAACGAAAACAAACTTTAATGTCTCTCTGTACATGACGTTTATTTACATGATATTTTGCATTAATGCTGGGGAAACAAGATTAGGCGTAATGCATAAATATAAAGTTTGTACAAATTTGCATAACTAAGTTCAAAATTAAAACTTGAATGATACATAATTTAAATGACTACCTCACTTGCCTTTAAATAAAAAATAAAAAAAAAAAAAAAAACACACACACACAAAAAAAAAAAAAAGACACTTGTAAAAATAATACAATGTGTTACCACACCGCTAGATTAGACTAAGTATAGAAATTCACAGGGGTCCAGAGGAGCAGACTCATCACATTAGCCCTGGACTGGAAAAAGGAGAGGAGAGGAGTGCATCTTCCACTTAAGTCAATAAGCTTCACCCTGGATTATGTTTAGAAGTGTATCAAAACACACAAATATTCAGCTCGAATGGGACACCCAGAGCAGCCAGTTTTATTCTGGGTCCACATTTCCATTTGTGATGAGGGCTCTTTCCACCCCTGTATGCACGAAAGGTACATGTTTGGATCTGCAGCCTAATTCATAAACCCATTGAGTACACATACACAGAATATATACGTACATATCAGCACAATCTCTAGACATTAGAAAATAAAAGAATTAAAACGCATTACAAAAGGTGAAAATATTGACCAAGCATTAGTGAAGTATATTGCCAATTTCTACAATTCAATTATTTTTCATTGCCTTAGATAAGCAATCCATGCAATACACTCATTAATACTACACTCCAAGACCCAAGGAGAGAGGGGGAGGGGAGGTAAAGAAAAAGAGCAGGCAAAGTGGGCGTGATTTCAGGCCTCAAACCACCATCACAACAGCTAACTGCAAGACAACGTACACAGCCGGCTTCAATTAGTGACGTTTTCACATAGCTAGGGTTTAAAAAAATGGGAGACTCAAACTACAAAAAGAAGACAATACAGAAAAGAACAGTTCAAGCTATACTCCTTTTAAAAATAGTCATTTTATATTCGGGTAAGGAATATTCTTAAAAGTATTCTAAATGATGATATCCAATTTGGGCACAAAGGATTTAGTCTATACTCCGTTTTGAAGAAAATGATACAGCCATAGCACAACATCAAGCACCTAGAGATAAACTGACAGCAAGGCCCTGTAAGAGACCACTCTGTTCCTTAGTACAGTTAACAATTCTCATGGAAAACTAAATTCGGTTTTACCAACACAACAGCTGGAAGCTATATGCTAGCCAGATATTGGCCGGGAAAGACTACATGAGAAGACTGACGCGGAAGTGTTTCTTTAAATGGGTGCCATTTTCAGGAAACCGCAGGCTAAATATCAGGCTAATCTTTTTAAACAAAGGCTATTAAGAGACTATAAAAGGTGCACATAACCCTCCATCTTTCACACGACGACTCTCCCCATGGCTCAATATTGCAACATAACTTTTCAGAGACAGGAGGGGTGGGGGGGGCTTACATTAAATGTTAACTGAACCAGACACATCTAAGCTTGTACAAAACATGTTTAGGGGATTGGAGGAAGGGGTGACAAGCCACTGTTAATCTCATTCGAAAGCATATCAAATGCCGCATATCATCCATGATCCGATACTGAGAGCTTGAAAACAATACTAAAGACCTGGATCTTCATCACAGAGTCACATGACCCACCTTGTTTTCCCCACAGTACCCCATAAATATACTTTAGGAAGGGGAGGGGGGCACTTCCTTTTCCATTGCATCACCCATTTTATAGGGAACTAATGAGACCCTCCCCTACATCCAGTTCCAGTCTGGTACCTCCAAATAAAACATGTTCAAGTTCAGACATATTCATTTTGGTTCCGTTTTGGCACAAACACCAATTTTTGCAAGAATTAACATTGGGAAAATTTTGGGAGGACATTTAACCATCATGCCCAAGTCTGTGCTTTAAATGCATTTTATATGAAAAGTGATCGATCATGCATCAGCATAGAATTTAAAATTGTGATTTAAAAAAAAAAAAAAATAAAATAATAATAATCCACCCACACACACACACACACAAACGATGTCCTCTAGCCCATTGTGTCAGTGTTCAGGTCAAAGGTCACACACAGGAGTCTTTATATTCTCTGGATTTTGTCGGCCACTACAACAGGGTTCTCCTTCCTGATTTTGGCAGCCGCTTCCGCCTTGTAATCATATGGGCAGTTGTGTTTGTCCGAGTAACGGTGCAATCCACAGAACAGGTTTCCACACCGACAGTCAAAGCCTGCAACAAAACAGATGAGCCCATTAAACAACTTGATACTCTTACCCCTGATCACAGGAGAACGAATCACAACACACTCCCCATTCATCACCTTGCTGGAAATCCAATATAACCAGTAAGTTTTTTTTTTATGCCTCTCACCTGTTAAGCCAACCTTCTTTCTGCACATGAAACATCTGTTCTTCTTGGTTTTAGGAACTTCTGGGGCCTTGGCATCATCACTACCTGAAGAGCTCGAGTGGGAGGTAGAGGGAGTGGGCTGGGTGACAACTGGGGAAGGAACACAAACACATTTTCATCAGCTTCAAAATTTGAATTGCATTGATAGAGAGATAAACCTATCTACTGTAACTTCCAGACAATGTTGTGAAAACTAGTTATAGGCTTTAATGAAATAAATGAAACTTTACTGATCCCCAAGGGGAAATTCTCTTTTTGCCTACTCATCTTGTTCTTCATGACACAGGTGCCAGCGAACAAGCTTGGCACCAAAGGACAGCAACCTGTAGTAGTGCTCAAGGACCCACAGATGTGCATATTCTACTGAGGCTGGACTTGAACCAGCAACCTTCCAATCACAGGCACAGAGGCTTAGCCTATTGAGTCACCCCCACACAACGTTGCAAATTACACAGAAGGTGTGGATCATCCATGATTCCACACTGGGTGTGCTCTAAACAGAGCCGATTCAAGTGGAAGCTCAAATCTTTAAGGATATAAGTGCATGAAATCTTTATCATTTTTCAGTACAACAAGTTCCCTCAAAAGTCCAACTCACATCATGCATCACAAAATATTTCAAAAAGATTAGAAAAGACGACTTAAGCCATTAAGCTAATACCAGGAGATCTTGGGAGTCTCGTATGAGCGAATTATCTGATAGGGCTCTGCACAGCCACCTTGGCCTGGATACAACTCAGAACATGGAATCTGAGCCAGTAAACACCTCATCTCTAACAAGTGCTGCCCCACCCACGTCACACGGCATGCCCAAACAGTTCCATGTCTGATCATGGTGTTCCTTGATCATTCTGGGGGACTCTCGCGTGCTGGAGGTATGCAGGGTGTTGGCAGAGGGCAAGCGCTCAGACAGCTGTCCTAGTTACTCAACGGGGGAGCTGTTTGCTGTCAGTTATGCCCTCAATGCTTGACCTGTCTCAGTGCACAGGCTGGCAAATCACATGGTACGCTGTCCTGGAACATCTCGCCTTAAATCCAGCACTAGCTTAGTACAGTAGTCACACGCGTTCTTTGGCAGGATTTGTTGGTCTCCAAAGCTACCAAAAACTGTAAAAGAAAAAAAGGAAGCCCTTGTGTCATGTCAGACAACCCAGTATGAAACGGAGGACTCTGCAATCCCACATTTGGGAGCTGCGAGTTTAAAGAGAAAAGGCTCTGGCAAGAATTAAAGTCCATCTGGAGTTCATTTCTGTGTGCTCAGCAAGCATCCAAAAAAGGAGGAACCTAGGACATAAACCAGTCCATTTACACACCAACCTGAGACTAACTTCATAATGGGGAATGAGAGATGCAGTGCTTATCAAGAAATTCACTGGTGAAATGCATTCGAGCCACTCAATTCTCCCCTTCCCCCATGGACTGGGCCTCATCACTTGCAGCAGTTACAATTACAGTAAAGTACCCAAGACAACAGTCACACTCAACACATGGGTGTGAAGACCATCAACAACACAGAAGACGTGCTGCATCTGTTACCTGGCTCCACAGGGTCGGTCTTTGGCGATGTGACTTTGTCCTCACGAGAAATGCTCATTTCTGTCATTTGTTGCGTTACTGGCAGAGATGCTGCAGATGTACTTCTGAACAGGACAGGAGAACAAAAAAAAATAAATCAACTACGAGACTAAGTGCACCCAGTACATTTCATATATTACCACACATTTTAGTGACAAAGGCCTTAACTTGGCAACAGAAATATTGGGGGGGGGGATTGCTTCTATTCCAGGGGTATGAAACCCTGATAATCAAGAACCATAATGTTAAAGGTTTTGGGAAATTAAATACCCAGGTGTTCCATCACTAAATATTGCTGTGCTGAATTACTGTAAAGAGAGAAAAAAAAAAAAAAACACAGCTCAAACACAGGAAAGGATCATATAATACAGCTCATGAGGGCTATAGCCATGCCTGCTTTTCCTGCTGACCTTGTTCTCAAAATGGCACTAAAAATAAAACAAGTCATTGGGGTCAACTTTATCGTTGCCCCTCAAGCTTTTGTATACCTGAATTAAATTCACAGTAACAGTCATACATCCTGACAATCCTTTCACATTTACCTCAACCCAAAAAAAAAAAAAAAAACTATCCATACATGCTAACACCTGTTTATAAATGGGAGCGGCCTTAACAGAACAAGGGGTATACCAGTGATCACCCCAGTCTAATCGCAGGCTTTAACTTTCAATGCCATATCTCTTTCTGATTTGCTTTGACACGCATGTTGACAGGCCACAGATAAAGATGTTTAGTTTGAAGATCTGCGCCCGGAAATCTAAATGTTTATCCAGGCGACCAGATCATTCCAGGTGAGCTGAAAATGCCGGCATCAACATCTGATGATCAATTGGGAGCCACACGGGCATCCCAGGGAGGAGGTTGTCAGTCCTGAGAACTTATGTGGGCAGTGGTGGCTTGATGGTTGGGGGAAGCGCACTTGTAATCGAAAGATTGCAGGTTCGAATCCCCGACCAGCAAGGCACCACTGAGGTACCCTGAGCAAGGTTCCGCCCCCAAGCACTGCTCCCCAGGCGCTGAATTAGCTGCCCCCTGCTATGTCACAACGTCACATATGGGGTAAATGCAGAGGACACATTTCATTGTTGCGCACTGTGGGCTGTGCTGTGGTGTGTTAACAATGACCACTGATCACCTAATTCTAATTCTAGGACAACGCCCAAACTGCGCAGATGTGGCTGGGAGAGGATCATGAGATTCTTACCTAGATGTGTCTGCGACAGAGATGGATGAAACGTCTGAGTTACTTAGGGTAGATTCTAGTCTTTGGATGGCTGCAGCATCTGCCGTGGGGCTGCTGGTTGCACTACCTGATGTTAGCAGAAGGGGGATAAGATATGGTTGATACTTTAAAAGATTTTATCCCCACACTCTCCCCTCTTCAATACATCAATTTAGAAACTGCTTAAGATCATTTTCCGCTGACACAAATCCACCGCCACATTAAGTGACCAACAACAAATTCAAGTTTAACTAATAATGCTGAGGGGGGGGGGGGGGGTGAGGAGTTCAAACTTCTTTTGTCTTCCTTCTATGAGAAGAATGAACGCTTTCAGCCAATGAACTGACTGAACTCTGTTCTTGAGAGATATGCTTTATCTTAGTATGAATGCCCCAGTCTGCCAGAAAGTTAACTTGCCCCTCCTGTAAGGCACCAATGGGCACATTCGCAATTTCTGTCCCACTTTCCACAAATCATACATATTCCACATAGGGATTCCTGCCAAGGAAGAAAGCCAAGCTGAGGGAAGACGACGAATGAATGGACAAGCAGGGAGTAAGTTGCTGCTTACCTGTTGAGCCCATGGGGCTCATTCTTCCACTACTCTGCTGTCTGGTGAGATGCTCCTTGTAGCAGACAGAGCACATTCCGTTTGTCCTGGCATTACCATAAAAGCCGCAGCCAGTGGAACACAGCAGGGGCACTGGGCTCTGGTTTGTCTCCTGGGCCATTTCTGATGGACAGTCCTGAGAAAAAAAATCCGGTCAAGAACTAGCTAATGGAATTGAGTGCGGGACATACAACAACATTCATCCAGCACTGGAACCACACATTCACGAAAACCAGGAACTTCCTTCATTTAAACGTGACAGATTCCTCCTGTCTCAATATTGTGAGCGAAGCTAATTTTAGACCACTTTTAAAAAAAAAAAAATCAGGTTATATGGAGAGCTGAAAATATAAGGCAGTGATTTAATGGCAGCTAAAAAGTACAGACGGCATAGCACGACACGTGCGATATAAAAATGTGACAACCTGTTAGTGTCATTATTTTGACTGTGGCCTTCACCCTTTAAACAGAATAATGAATTTATTAGAAGTGTATGGCAACATATATTACCTGAGATATAAGCAATTAAAAAAAAAAACCTATTGCTGGCACCATCAGCCTATGGGAAAGGACCACTCATCAAAACCTGCCAAGAATTAGTTTAATGAAAAGATAACAGCACATCAGACATGCGCTGAGAGGCATACTTTTGGAAGTTTGATTCATTGATCCTGCACATTGCTTTACAAAGCCTTTAAAACACAGCCGTCGCCCTTATCCAAGTATCACCGCACATTATGTTCTACTGTGTATGAAACTTTGTATGAACATTCATCTGACACGAACCACCAGCCAGCTCACCAGGTTTCGTATCATTTTACAGGTGGAGCACCCACGTGTGAATGAATGTGTGCTCAGAAGACTGCCAAAAGAGCTGGTATTTCAGCAGTAACAGTTCCAGTTAGCGTGGGATGGCTACCAACCACAATGACCGTCATCAACCAAACATGTTTTTCAGCCATTGTCAAATACACACTACAGAACACAGAACGTTCAGCTTGACTAACCTGGTAGATAACATATTTTATGTTTAATATGAACATAGCCTGAGGGCCAGAAATGCATGCTTGCAGAACAAAACCTGCCAACGGCACGGCGCAGGTCGGCATACGAGTGAGGAAGTGACAATCGCAGATGGCACGCCCTAGCCTGGCATAATAGAAATTGGGTACTCTGTCTTACAAAGGGGGGGGGGGAAGCTTTAGGGGAAAAAGAACCAAGAACCAAGATTAAGTACATGCAGCTATCCAAAGCAACTTACAAGTTCAGCCAATGGTACTTAGGACAGAGTTCATCTTGACCCCAGACGTCAGTGTTGTGCCAGATTAAATGAACATGACACATTCCACGGGCATCATGCTCCAAATCCACCATAAAAACTCTGATGAAAACTCAAAAACACCACTGAATGACAGTGTGGCGATTTTCAAGCCTTTCAGGTACATTTCATGGGTGCATCTGAACATTAATTAGCCAACAGGCTTTAAAATTCTCACATCGCCTGGTCAAAAAAGTGAGTGCGTGTGAAAATTTCCAGTATAAACCTCAATGATCCCCCTGTCCCCTCAAAAGAGGACTATATCATGTTCATATGTAACAGGGGGAAAAGCAGCTTTCAGATCGCCCGATCAACAAAACCAGACAAGAGACTGTTTGGCTGACAATATTGCATCACACCCCCTCCAACAAGCCCATACACCGTGCGTCATGGTTTTTCCCTAGAAAGCCCGGGTATCACGTTCCATCACATGTATAACCTGCTGATCGCAGTACTTCACGGCGGCACAGCCACAAAGACACACAAGGCCGCCATGTGACACACTGGTCCGGGGGGCGCTGGTTCAAAATAAAATCCTTCAACAGAGGGCCCGTGCTATTTATATCACAGTATAGCTGTCCTACACAGGACGGCGTACGCACGGCAGCCATCCGCCCCCGACACGCACACAAAATGAATAGACGGAAAACTATATTTGGCTATAGCGCCAATACAAATAAGATACAAGCGCTGGCATCAGAGACCCCGCGACATGCTGCATTTCTTGGTCCGAATAGGATGTGTTGGTGAAATAATGCGAATACATTTGTGGTTAATGAAATTGAAAATAGGAAAAACAGCGGATGTCGAGGTTATACGGAACTATTACGGTGAAATTTGTTTTTCAAAAATAAAAACCGAATACCATCCATCCATCCATGTTCGTAACAGGCTACCTCACAGAAACGATCACCGACTATTAAAAAAAAATCTGAATTGTGTTTGTGTAAATGATACAGTAAATGATAGGCGTAAAACCAGTTATGGAGTCGTATTGAAAATGTCAACACATCGAACGAATTGGTTACATTTTAACTCGCCGCGTCTCTCAAACAGCACCGAAGTGTAAATATGTATCTATTTACCTTGTTCGTAAAACGCAGACACCGGCAGGGGGGATTAATAACAGCAACCCAAAGCACCCGTCACATACAGAAAGACGCTAAACCGTATAGCATCCACCAAGTTTCTCTAATTCAATAGACTCAGAAATGCCAAAAGAACAAGTACGTGAGCCTATACATGACGGGAAAATAAGCACATCTACACAAATTAATGAATAAACAGATATATCTAAAGGCCGCAAACCTTTCCCATTGAAAAATACTGAGTCATGCCATGGTTAGACAACACAGACGGTGCAACTCTCGATCTTGAGCTTCATTATTAAAAAGAAACCAGAAAATTAAAGAGAAACAAAACGACTGAAGCATGAATTATTAACATAAGGACTGGTAATACTGTAGGAGGCATGTGGCAAACACCCATAAATCGGGCTGGATCCTCGGCTTCGGCGCGCCGCGCTTTGTCTTTCTTTGTTTCGCCCTCTTCCTGTTTTGACGCTCGGCGGCAGCTAGCTACGAGTCGCTAACGACTGACTTCGATTACGGCCACAAAACAGTTACCACTCTCGATCCAATGAATGTTAACAGACTCTATAGGTTTAAATTCACTTTATTACGGCGGTGCCAGGGTACCCCCGACCTTAAAGACGGCATCGTGTCGGGCCAACAACACATATTTACAGGCTATGTAGCTAGCAGGACGGAGACACCTTAGCAGCTACCTGTTCCCTCCCCCAAAGAAAAACATCCAAGCAGTCACCCTTCAGTGGAAGGATGTGATATCTGACAAATATGGGCTCACGTCTGACACAAATCACCAGCCAGCAGAAAAGACAATGAACCAAACGGCCGCGCTAACGACATCACCCTCCTGGCTACCCAGTGCTGTCTGTGCTCGGCCACTTTTTCCTGTTAGCTTTTCTGCCCTTACCTTCTCCTGTGTTCTCGGCCTTTGGAAAGAAAACGACCGAAACCACCAAAAGCCACGATTTCATTTCCGAAAAACACACACAAGAGATAGAATCCTCACTTTAAAGTTGGACCCAGATACATATCACGCTGTCTGGCTCCATTCTTATGGCGAACCTTTCTTCTCTTCTCCCAACTTAAAAGCAAAGAATACATTTTAAAAAAATAGTCGCCAACACTTACAGTTCAATATATAACGGACAGATATGAACGTGTAGTCGGGTTTTCTTCAAATGTTGAACGGCTCCCGTCCGCAAGACGCTCCTTTCTCCTCCGTATCTCTAACAAAAAAAAAACCCTCAGCCGAAGCCCTTCCTCTTCTCTGACTGTGCTATGTTTGTTTCCTTCTTTAGTAAGAGGAGTGGCGGCTGGCGTCACGGGGGAAACACGCCTCTCGATTGGTTGTCGTGAAAAAATCAGTCGTCACGGAAGAATCACACGTCGCGATTGGCTGTCACCGAAACTCCAACACTCGGCCTACAACTGCTCTAATTCAGATGGGCGGGGACTAATGCCAGGGATAGCCGTCGTCACTCACTACTGCCCAAGGACGTTGCACAATGCTTAAAATATCATCAGCAAGTAAATAACATTTGAGAATCTGCTTACCTTCGTTGCAAAACTTCATTCATTCTCTTTCGGGAAATGTGACCATATTTAGGCAGTTTAAAAAGCGCCGATGTGAGCGTAATGTTGCTTAAGGAGAACTAAAACATTTTTTTGCATATAATTTGTTAGTGTGTTGGTATTGGTGATGGCTGGTTTGTGAGTATACTATTTACGCAGGCTTTAATATATTTATTTATCACTTAGGTAATGTTGAAATTATGCCGCCCTTTTAATTAGACCACAAAATTGGGTTTGTCATTGGTTCAAAACTTCATTCCAAATGCAGACTGTCACATTTCATCACATTTTATCTGAACGAAAAGGGAATTAAGTATCCAGTTAAAAACAAATGGTATATAATTCACAAAAATTGTAGGGTGTTTATGAAAAATTAAGACAGAATGTTGCTATCTAGACTCACAGGAGGTAAATCTAAAAATTAGCTTAAAAAAATTGTAGGCCTGTCCTTTTAAACAGAGTCAAAACACAGTGTTACAGCTCTGAAATTGAAATAGAATACTAATCCTAAGCGGCAAGCATCTCACAGCATGGTATTTACGGTGGTGATGTGGCTCTCTCATCCTGTTTTTTCCCTCTTGTCTTTGCTCTGGGTCTCAAGACAGATGGTATTATTCAGCAGTTACTGAAGTCAGTCTTCCATTTCATAACAAAGAATCAGATAGCCAATGTTCACACAGTTTTTTTTCTCTGTGCATTGGACATATTTGGGTCTCTGAGAAAGTTCTGTAAAACTTAAGAATACCCCTCAGGCACGGGCTTATCAGCAGATAAGCTTCTCTTCACTGTTCCTCACCACCAAATGCCCACAGGGGTAACATGAATGTCCAGATGTGCTGAGAGTGGCAGCCGTTGTTTTGCAAAGTGCTCCACTGTCTACACATGATTTCACGCACAGGTGAGTCTGTACACTTCTCCCCGGAAACGATAACTTGTGTAATTTCCCCCGAGCAGCAACACGGAACAGTAAGACGCAACTATGAATTAAATGAACCGAAGTGCAGTCTCCACCTATAAGAATCACTGCGTCACATAGGTATGGGAGGAATGATTGGGACATTATTTGGGATTGGGAGTGGAGACGGGTTTAAAAAGCAGTGGGGAGGAACACGAAAGGCAGGAGTTTCGATGTCATGACACGTAAAACACACATAATAGAACGTCAGGTTCCAGAAACACTACATCTGGGCTAGGTATATTTGTTAAAAATGAGAGAAATCAAAGCTCGCACTTAGGATTGTGAGTGTGGAAATTGCCCACACCACACCTTCCTACCCATTCTTACCTCTATCTTTGACAGAAAAATCAAGATATTCTGGTACATGTAACCTTATGCCTCAGCTTGATTAAATTATAAGAAATAACTATTTTCAGCCCACATCTAAACCAGAGTATGTGTGTGTGTGTATGTGTGTGTACGTGGGGGGGCAGGTGTATAGAGTATTTTTTAGGAATTTACCTGTCTTAGTGATATTAGAAATATGTGAAGAGGAGAGGTTCCACAAAGGGCTATTTCTGATGCCGGTTTTGTGTTTTTGAGCATGATGCATGGCTGTTTTCAGACATGGCCTAAAATGTCGTTGATATTATTGGAGGTGTTAGAGTTTCAGGTTCTTGAGAGGTAGCGTAGCTCATTTCTGTCAGAGGCTCCGCAGCAATTCTGTGACTGAGGCCTGAATGCTGTCTTGACGTAATGGACAGGCACGACCAAAAACAGCAGGTCAGGCAAGTTCCGGCACGTCACCTGTTTCGTAATTTTCTGTTCATATGTCTTTCCCATATTTTGAATAGCATTCTTTCAAGAAAATACAAATCCAGCATTTCAAACTCAAAATCAGAGCATTATTTATGAAGCTGATAAAATGTTACAATTATAAATTGATTGGGCCTATCATTTCTGTTCTGAGTCTTACTTGTGCTATGTGAAATTATTGTAGCTAATGTGTTTTGTGGTGTATTAACAAGTATTTGTCACATGTAGCAAGATCCCGGAGGCAGAGGAAGCTGTTCTGTCACCATAGAGGTGTGTTTATTCACACTGGGACCAGGAGAAGCAGGTGCAGTCTTTTGAGTCCAGGTTACTCTCACCAGTGTCCATTGGGAGGGGGGGAGTGCAATATAGCATCTTCAGCCAGGGCCAGGAGGAGTGAGCCAAGCAGGAAGGAAATGGTCTGAATCTGGTTTTGACCAGATCCACATAGTTGGTCTTTCTCCTTCATTACCTCTGTAAGGTTCCGGGGTGGGCCTGCTGAGTTGTCTTCAGCTGGCCATGTTAATTGACTGCCAGTTGGGTGTTATTGGGGCGCAGCCGCTGCCCTGCCTTGCTGAGCCATCTTTGCTCTATGCGCCGCTGCACCGGCGAGGCCATGAATATCCTGAGGCTCTGTCGTCACAATTTACTTAGTGTGAACGAATTATTATTCTGTGGTTTCAGTGGAATGTCTGTCAGAAGCTCGTCCGAGGGAACAATTAGGTAACATAGCGACTAACGTCGCTGTCCTTAACAAGCAACGCTCCCGCGGATGTAAATGTTTTGGATGTACGCATAAGGCGTGCGGCTCAGGCTAAGTTAATTAGAAGTTAGTCTTATTTTATCCTCTTACATATGTTGTGTCGCACAGGATGAGCTCTTCTGATTGGGTGACATGTCACCTTATAGTCAATCCAGTCTAGATACTGTGGGGTAGGACGATGCTTAATCCTGAATTACCTCTACTTACGTCTAAGTGGTACGCTGACAATGAGGCCTGAGAGTCAAAAAACCTTGGGGGTAAAAAGGTTGGTTGTTTTTTTTTTCATATTATCTTGATCCTTAGAAGGCTCACAAAAGCTTTCTGTTCGTTATGCTCACAAATTCCCTGATTGGTGGGTAGGTTATTTAAAAAAAAAAATTCTGTCCAGAGGCATAAACATAGTACATTTATGATATTTGTTTGTTCTGTCTTTTATGTTTCTTAATCTCCCTGTTATAGTCCCTCAAGACAGTTACCATTCAGCTGGATCTTTGCTGGTATACATTAAGCCAGACAGCCTCTTGCTGATGTCTTCAACTATTTTAATAACTGTTTATTCAATGCAGAGTCTTGGTCAGTATAGGGCCTGTTCCAGAGAGCACAGGGCAACCACCATGGAATAACAGGTCATAAGAGGACACACGCTATGGATAAACTGAGACATCGATCCACCAAAGTGCATGTCTTTGGACTGTGAGAGGAAACTAGAATATCAGAACGAACCCCAAAGACACACAAGGGGGAACATGCAAGTTTGTCAAACCCACAGCCCTAGAAGTGTGAGGTCACAGTGCTACACAGTGTATTATTGTGCTGCCCTGCCTAAGTCTGAATCCACATTTTATTACCAACTCAATTGTATATGAGTGCATGTTTGGCAGGGGAACATACTTATTCCACTCAGAAATTGTATCAGGTTAATTTTACAGGGCCTTGGTATTCCTGGAACCGAGCCCGGAAGGCATATGGGACGAGGCAGGGGAACACCTAGGATGGGGTTACAGGCCCTTATGGGGCACATACTCACCACGGACAATATAAAGACCCTTATTCACCTAACCGCCTGTTTTTGGACTGGAGGGGGTGGTGGGAGTACGCCAAGGAAACGGGCCCAACATAGGGAGACCATGCGGACTACTGACACACACAACTGGGGGGCTGGGAATCAGAGCCAGAGGCCTCTGCGTGTGAGGCTCAGGGTTATCAACTGAGCCAAATCAAGTTGAATAAAGCAATTTAATATCTGTCCAAAGCAAAATAGGTTACAGCTTTGACAGGGGTCTGGCCGTTGGTTTTAATAACTGTTTTTCAATTAAAACTTTATGTTGGAGCATCGGTGAAGCAGAAATTGTAGAGACCACGCTGTTACTTAACCATACATGTTTGTTTCTGCATCTATTTAAATATAAATTGAATCTTGGTTTCTAGCACATTTATATGTGCCATCAGCTCTTAGGGTTTGGCATAGAAATGTAAAAGCTTCTGTAGAAAGGTCTTGCCCATGGAAATAAATGCTCTTTTTCCAGCTGCCGTACTCCACAAAAAGGCAGCTTCCAAGTAAATCCCTTGAGTTACGCAACATGGTGTACACTAGTCCCAATCGTCTTACTCTGCATGAAAAGACCACCTATGGAAATGTCACTGAACAGTCAGGGTAATGAAAGAGAGGCGTGAACAGGCACTGTGTGGTGTTTCCCCGCTAGTGCATTGCTGAAAATGTGGCAAGCCTGCAGCGTATTTTTTAAATGTAGGACTTCAGCGGCGATGTATGAGTGTAGGTGTGGTTGTGAGTGTATGTGTTCGGTGTTTGGGGGGGTGTGTGTGAATAAATGCACTCCTGTTACCCCTTCTTGGTAGCGCTGGAGCAGATGTCCCCAGTGTACAGGACGGTCTGGCTTTATTTTTGTTTTCTTGTCTGCCGACAGGACCTGCCATGTGATTCGGTTTCAGTAGCAGGCACGCCTCCTGAAGACTTTGTTTTTAGTACAGTTTGCCCCCCTCCCCACCAGCCCCCAACTCCCATCGCCCAAGCAATCAATCATGCTGCGCAAGTGTGAGAGGTCTTGCGCAATATCGGGGCTGCTTCTCAAAGTGCATTTAACTTTTGTTTAAACTGTCTAACCTCACAAAACAGCAGCCCGTCCGGTTGGGTTTCCCGTGTTGTTGATGGCGCCCGTTCTTCAGTTTGCCCAGGAATACTGTAAACATGTCTTACCCTTCTCTGTATAATCATGCATAAATTTGTGGGACAAACCAAACTCATAGTTTGAGATTAGTTACACTCTTGCCTCAGGAAATTCTTCATAATGAAATACAGGGTACTTATGTTACATACTGATCACTGATGCTATGTTTGTCCAAGGAAGTCTGACAGAATGCTAATTTGAATGATATGTGGCGAGTCGGAGAACTCTTCTTCTGCCTCTGTGGGTCTCCAAATAGCAGCCATGTAAGAGAACTGAAGCTTCAATTATGCAATGTAGCCCTTAGTCATAAATGAGAAGCACAGTGTTATTCATTTCATCTAAAAGACTGATGGCTTTATTATTGTTCTTTAAAAGTGAGGATTGCAGAAGAATGTGGGAAGCTGTGTGATCATTTATTACATTCTGTTCTGGCTCTCCAGTGTTCTACCTGAGGCACATTCATTGAAAACCTTGATAGCCTTGAAAACACAAGATGCACAGGAGATCTCAGCATAAAGGTTATCATGAATATTGCAAAGAAGATAAGACCATTCAGCCCATCTTGCTTGTAATTTCATATTAAATATTCAAATGCTGGTATAATTCACCCAGTGCTGACTAAGCAGGATGTCAGATACTGGAGGATCAATCCAGAGTTTCGAAGGCTTGCTTCCTTTGATCAAAGCTCGGCTGGTCACTTACTGCATTCTGTCTATGGCCGTTTGTTCTTGAATCAGCGCTAGTAAATCGATGACCAGAGTTCAGTGTGTCCAAGATTTCGGTTACTTTGATCATAAATAGCAGCAGATATTACCTAAGTTAATGTTAGGCTTTAATTGGCAAAACTGAGACACTGCATGCATGTCATCTGTTTTCATCTTGACTTTCGGAAATATTAATCTTTTTAATGTGTCCTTATTAGACAGCAGGGGTATAGACATGTTACTGATGCATTTTGTATGCCATGCATGTCTATGCTTCTTCACTGGATCAGCACACAATGGTAAAGATAAGGATTGGACCTTAAGTCTCTGACCCTAAAATAGAGCTCTTTTCAAGCCTTCTTCATTAGAGAAACATTCGACATGAGTAATAGCACACAAAGATATATGCTCAATCTTCCATAAGCCAAAAAGGAGTAGGTACGTTTAAGAATTATTCAGCTTATACGTGTTCCTTCTAAGTGCTAAGAAATGGGGCCTGTGTATTGCATTATTTTTTTGTTCTCTCTGTTTTCTCTGCTTTTGATTTCCTATTGATTACGATGTTTTTCAATTCCTTGATTTGATGTCATTTAACATAACATAATTGTATTCTACTGTATATGCATGTGACTCCTGTTGTTTATGTTTTTGCTCGTATTTGTAGAAGGTTACAACTAAACATGAAAGCCTCTAATGGAAGAGAAGTGTTTGCTAGAGCTATTAAGTAGTGGGAGTGTTTTTCCCCCTTTTGTTTTTACACTGCAGATGAGAGCTGAGGTCAGCAACAAATTCCTAATGGCGAATGCTGGAAAAAAGAAATGAAGTAGTTCCCTTTGCAATCTAAGAATTCCAAGGTTCACATGACTTTTGAAAAAATAGCATTCGGAATTAGAGAAAACTATAAACAGCATTATGCTTTTTGGGAAGAGGCCTGTTATATTGTGCTCAAGTGTTTAATTTGAAATGCAGAAAATATGATGTATACAAGCAATGGAATCCAATATGCATGCTGTCACATCCCGATCGTTCCGATCCTCTTGTGTGCCACGCCTCCTCCTTTGCTCTGTGTGGAATCCTCATATGGATTCCCCATGTCTTCAGCTGTTCCTAGTTGTGTAAATTGTGGTTACGTATTTAAGTCCGTGTCTGTGTGTTTTCGTTAGTCCGCTCATTGACGTCGTTTCATGTTCCTGAGTGTGTTGCTCCTGATTAAACCCCAATGTTCACTCGAGTTTCCTGGACTCCTTCTCCTGCTTCCCCGCTCCATAATCCTCACTGTTGTGACACATGCATGCACACAAACAATTTTATAATGCACAGTATGAAAGAGTATAATGGACAGTGGTGTGCACTTCACGTTTATGCAATTAGAACAGTATTCAGTAAAAGTATCGGTCACTGTTTTCGTTCCTGTAGTATCTGCCAAATTTAGCAGAGGGACCTGATATGTGGTTTGTTGGCCTCACATATGAGCTGCGATCTATTAGAAGTTGTAGAGTCATCAATTCTGTATGGTGACTGTTCTGAATGAATTGGAGAAGAGGTATTGAGAAGAGCTTCCGGGGATCAGCTTGAAATCCTGACACCAGCTTAGCGCTACAGTGATTACAGTGCCCTCTTGTGGACAGCCACAACATCACTGTTCCTTGGTTGCAGGACTAGACATTTTTTTTGTTTTATTGATTCCTTAAACAGTAGCAGATGAGGTGCAAAATTTACCAATGGGACCCCCCTGGGCCAGCAAATTGTACCAAGTGTCCCTTTTGATTACAAACAATTGTGCAATATTTTACAGAGAACCACCACCCCCCAACCCCCCCCCCCACTTTGAGACCCCTCCACTCTACCCTTAAGATAAGATAAGACCTTTATTAGTCCCACAGGTGGGAAATTAGCATTTTACAGCAGAAAAGTGGACAGTGCAGCAGAAATAAGTAGAATGCAGAAAAGTCCTTAAGCAATAGCAGTAATATTTAACAATAGGGAATAAAAAAATGCAATATCTACAATACGATAGTCAAAAATGGTACAATTTTGCCGTAAAAATTAAGTATAAATGTAATGTAGGTTATATTGATTGATAAATAAATAAATAAATATGTATATGTATATACACATATTAATAGCAGCAGAAATGGGTTGCAGAATAAATAAATATGTATATGTATATACACATGTTAACAGCAGCAAAAATGGAGTAATGTAACATAAAATATATGAGACAGTGCTTCATAAAAATATTAATTCTTAAACATATTATAGTTAGGTCTTTGCGCACACAGTGCTCAAAGGTATAAGCTCAGCTCCTCTGTGCACACAGTGCTCAAAGGTATAAGCTCAGCTCCTCTGTGCACACAGTGCTCAAAGG